ATCCTGGTGGGGTGGTCTTCTAAGTTCACGAGCAAAATATGGGTTCGCGTATTTGTGCCCACAACGCTTAAGACCTCGTCCAACTGCAGTATAGTGCTAAAGTGGTTTGTTTGACACTGCCTTCGAATGTATAATGTATTCCTCAAGTAGTGCTTACAAGGTGCGTAATTACAAACTAAAACCTCCTCGTTAAAAGCCTCTTGCCTGCAGCAATATCTTTCACAGAATTGTTGACATTGAAGAAAATTCGCCCCAGAGTCGAGTACTGCAACTACTTTACCATAGGAGATGGTAACTTAGAGCACAGATAAGTTATCAGCGGTTCTATTTACGCTGTTTGCGTTCTGACGAAGGTAAGGCTCCGAGCATCGATACCTGAAGTGACCCTGTTATTCGTAGCTGAAGCATATGCGACCAATTGCCTCGACGTTCATCGGGCCTGACTACCATGTTGTGCTCGCCACCACTCAGGAAATCAGACCTGCTCCTGCTTGATGTTTTTGAGTTTCGGCATGACCAAGTTGCGCAAGCCCCTCGGATTTGCAACTTGGTCGTACCGGTGCAACCCCGCTGAAGTAGTTGATGAAATGATCACTTCTGCATGTATCTACAGCGTACCTTACAAAAACTACAAAACCGTACGGTAGACTTAAGCGGTCCATCAAGACGCGTCTCTCTTGGATAAGGGAGTAAAAACCTTCTCTTAAACGTGTCCTGCCGGCACAGTACTTAAACGGAGTGGGGGCCACTTCCTCTAGGAACCTCTCAAACAGCTTCGTCTTGCTGCTGGGGTTGCCTCAAACGCACAACCGCTCTAAATCGCGTCCTAGCTGACTTTAATGGGAACCTAACCACTACCCTTAGAAGCTCGTGGGAAAGCCAATCTTAAACATAGACAATTCATTCCAATTAAGTAGTCAATGTCTTAGGCGCAGTCTAGTCCAGCTGTGACAGGTCGGGTGGAGGACAAACGTAATAGAGCTTTCATGATGTTTGCGGTCAGGTGAGCAATGAAAGTCTTAAGCGTAAGGCCCCCTTCCGGTTCGTCCTCATTATCTGCATCCAGACACTCTTCAGAAGTTAGTCAACGCTCTACCTGGTCGTCAATCTGACTTCGGTCCGCTGTTGCTGCTACCAGTATACTGCGAGTAACAAAGCTGTTACCTGCGAACTGCATTTGCCGATGAACTGTGGTATTGTTCATATTCCCAGCGCACATATACATACGTCCGTATAGCCATTTTGAAAATGTTTTGCTTTTAGTTTAAAGTGTTAGACCGCAATGATGGGAAGTCCTATCGCACTGCATGGTACAGTTCTGCTTCACATCTGTTGTCCTACTATTCGTTTGGCCAAGTAATCAATTCATCCTATTCGTAGATTTTCCTAACCTAGTTAGTTACGAGAAAGAACTTGAGAATAAATAAAGAGAAGTTCATTTAAACAAATGATACAACAATGGGCTATTTAGATGCCTTTAGCAAAGTCAACGACTTTATGGATTCGTTGAATGGCTTTTTGTCGGCATTGCTTCGCCATTCATCCTCTCTTCACAAGGCTACCGGGCTGACTGCAAGCATATGGCTGGCATCTTCGAAACTATGCCGTAGGAAACAATTGATTACATAATATCGGCCTTTTACGAAGCCAGCGAGCTACCGCAGCTTGCCTTGCTATATTCGTTCCTATTCATAATACCCTGCATGGATAGACTTTTTTGAGTAATGCTAGCCATAGCACGAAAGCGGTGTTATTGGACAATGAAATGGAAAAAAGATCGGATCAGAGAACGTTTAGCCATACACTAACACACTCCGATAAAATATCATTGATTTCTCTAGCAACACCAACATTGTGGTTTAACAGAGTATTTTGCAGATGATGCGTGTCCGACATTTACGTTAGGCCAACTGGCTGATTAGTATATTCCATGTATCGAATCCACGTTCATTGCTCAGATGCAATTTTTTTCAGGGAAGAAACGTGTTAGTCAAACTAGTTTGGGAAGACAATCTTCAATCAGCGATTGGGTCCTAGCGACTACGACTGTTTGTATAGCGATGCCCAATTAGGTAATCGACCATAGTATATATGTGTACCTTCTCCACAGACAAGAACATCTCTCATTTTTACTACTTATTTTTAAAATACTATACTTATCCTTAACGTAAAAACTCTTTATTATATTGGCCGCGGGATTAATTAATTTATGGAACGAACTGCGCGTGTAACTTAAACATTCATTGACTTAATGAATGCCACTATTAAATATGGAATAGCATGAATATAATTGTAAATACGCCTATGTTTTTCCCAATGAATAGGTTACTCTCAAACTTGGCATAGTGTCTGTTTTATTCGAAATTGTACTGTATATTCTCGATTCGGCCGAAATGACCCCTGGGCCAGAGACCACCAATTTTATTTATAAGGTGTCTATTCGGAAAAATGTGCACTATTATTATGTGGTCAAAAGAAGACTGCTATTATGTTTCGATTGCAGAACGCTCATTTGCTAGGCTGTTACAAGTGAATCCGGCAAACATTGAAATTAAGTTAACTTTAACGTTAAGTTTACTACAAAGGAAATTAATTCGAAAAGAAAAAATGTCTTTTAATGTATGTAGTCAAGTTTTTGTTTTTTACAGATCGCAGCGCCGCGAAAATTGATTCACGATTGGTAAAAACATTTGGCTAAGTGATTTTAAGCGTAAGCACAGTATACAAACGTTTCAAGAACACGGAGTGGAGTGTTGAAGATCGGCAAGTACGTGACCAGATATCAAAACCAAAAAAATATGAACGCGTTGCCACAACTGAGGAGAGTTTTTGCGAAAGCAGAGCTTCGAGTCTGAAGGTTCTGTCGGCCGAAACTGGCATTGCACATGCAATGTGCTATAGAATTAGTATCCAAACATTGAAAATGCAGAAACTGAGAACGATTCCTCGTTACTTGCTTTCAGGCCAACTGAAAATGTGTAAGATGTATTCCATGTGCGATCTGCGGAACTTGAATCAACGAAAAACCCGCCTGGAGCATGTAGTTGCTATAAACGATGCATACTTTAACATCTATCGCCAGTCAGGGAGCGGCCGAAGAAATGTTGTTGGTACTATTTGCAATGGACATCAGGGGCAGCGGCTACTATGAGGTATTGGCCAAAATTGAAACAATGAATGCGGCTCGTTACCGTGAGTTCCTCTAGGGACTCACGGACCGCTGGCACGAAACTCGAAAGCACGCAGCCTGGCGACTTGATGACAGCTTCAAGCCTCTTCGCCGCGCCTCAGTTGATTCCTGGATTGAATAAAAAGTATACTCACCATTGGCTACAACTCGCCTACTCTTTCGATGTAAGCCCGTGTGATTACGTGGCCTTTCCATGCCCTAAAAAGGTAACTGCTGGACAAGCATATCTCACTTGCTTCGAGAGGTTGTAGGTAGAGGATTGCATGTATATCGTTGGTCAAAAACTGCCAGAACGCTGGAACAGGTGTGTCAAAGTGAAGAAGAGTGCCTCTAACCCATATTAACGAACCATCATTCTAGATCAAATCCTTCGGAGTAAAGTAACCAGATGAACGGGTAGATCGCCTAAGTTAAGTATAAGGAGGCCTGAATCACTTCAAATAACTTTTCTTATTGTTTTTGCAAGCGAATGCAAGCTCATTGTTTAGGCCTGTGGCATACAAGGATTTCAGCATGTGTAAGTTGTACTTTCGACATGTGATTTTGCTTGTCGATCTTGCCGACCATCTATATTGAGAGCTCTATTGTATCAAATCATGTTTGCGCTTAGGTGTCTAATCCGCTAGTGCGATGGTGGCGAAAGTAACGTGGTTTGAAGTTCGAGGTACCGAGCAGCTTTGTCAGTGTTCTGTAAGCCAAGCTACTTTCTCTGTTGGCGAAAACGGATACGCGTATAGATCGATGCTGTCACAAAAGGTTCCCGGGAAAACTCTATACTGGAGACAGCAGACTTGTATATTTAATTTTCAATAGTGATCCTTAACGTAAAGCGTGAAGTTATTCTAGATAAACAAGCAAAGTTTTGCCGTTCTAGGAATGATCGCTTGGTGTGCTGTGAATTCGGTATTCTTTTACAATCCCCTTGCCTCAGAATGTTACCACAAACAGCAATCGTTCTGTATTCATCCGTAAAAATACGCCTGATGCGACGTCTGCTGACTAGGATGTTAATTCTATTAGCAAATTGATTTTTTTCAATTCGACTTTATTAAACTGTACTTCAATCCACGAAGATGAATTTCATTTTACAATACAATAAAAACTGCCAACTGGACCGTCCAGCCTCGTACCCTTCACTTCTTCCTTCACAATTTAAAGAAAGCTTACCTTTATGAAAGAACAAAGAAACTAGTTGTGTCCTCCTTAGGCAGACTTCTGTTTACCGAAACGTGAAATTACAATGAATGATATAGCTTGTGTAAACCCGCACATTGGCCTTCCTTCTGTCAACCCATATAACACTCCGCTGGCCATCGCTTATCAACGGCAGGGAAACAAATACGAGCGGTTTTCCCCTTTGAAAGCCTAGGTTACAAAGTAAGCAGTTCTTCTTAGAGGATATTTTTCTGCATGGATTGGTAGTAGTACATTCTGCCGATACGTTCTGTTCTCCATTTTCGTAAACGTATGCAGAGAAGTTGGTAAGGAAATAAATCATTTTGACTAAGCGCACACCTTAATTGACGCTCCTGTCCTTAACTTAATATGTGACTAAAGATTATGTACACGCGTAGCCGCACCGTTACTGCAACCCTTACCGCTTAACTCTTGCTACGTTTCTATTCATTTTCGTTGTCTTGTTGGGCAATACATTACTTTCGTGGGATAGACTGTGTCCTTTCGAAGCGGAGGGAAATACAAAGCTCTTTGACTAAAGTCAAAGTCATATTTAACGAGAGCTGGAAGCCCCAGATCAAGCAAGTAACGACATTTGCGTTGCTACTTTGTCGTTTGTTGATGGTCAGTTCATTCTAGCTTTGTGTGAGAAGCCGGTCGGAACCTCGTTTATCAGTTTGCCTGATACTCTGACGAAGACCAACGTTTCACCTTCTAGTTGCGTTCCGACAGAAAGGAAACAACGAAACATGTGTCACTCAAGTTGTAAACGCATGTAAACCTGTACCATGAAGATAGTGATTCACGCATTTTTAACAAATATTTTGATTTCGAATGCCACATGCACTGATTGCATCTAATCGCACGCTAAATATGCGTCTATCGGATTAGAAGGCAACAAATTGCAGGAATTTTTGAAGGTTACACTGCGGGAACACGCCATAGCCCACTTTACCCAGCCCAGTGCTTATAGACTGAACTTGCGTTAGTTACTGGTTCCCAGCGAACGTTCAGCTGTCTCGATTGACTCTTCGATGCGCCTTCGTTCTAATTTGTGTCGCACCTCACTAAATCAAGCAAAAAGGAACAGGAAGGTAATGATCAACATAATAATCCAGGTAAGAACAGCAATACAGTGGTAGGTGACAGGAACGATGTATGCCTATTTTTCATCAACTAAAAGTATAAAATGTGTATTCATTTTCTCGGCGGCATTGTGCCCAAAATCACAGTTCTCACAGGTTAGTTGAGACTTAACAAGGTTCTGAAGTTATTTGACGTACAGCTTTGTTTAATCAATAGGAAAAATGTTCAGTCTTGGTAAAAATAAGTTTCCCTTTTACAGTGTGATCATTGTGGATTTTATTTCTCGCATCCCGCTCGCGAATGATAGCGTTTAAGTGAAAAGTATTTGGAAAACATAGTTTGTCAATTAAGGTCAAGCGCATCTGCTGGTGCAGACGTTTTCGTGAGGTGCGGCTTCTAATCTAAAATTTACGCTTTTTTTCTATACTGAATAAGTTTGGAATCCGTTCAATTTAATACGATACTTTATTTGAAGCAAATAACTGGCAGTCACTGTTAATCTTCAAAGTTCATACTTTGCACATAATTCAAAGCGTTTAGTATTTTGATCAGTGTGCAATCATAATTATCCGGGAGTTCACTTAGCACAGAGTATTCATTTTCGCGTCTTCAATCGCTCGTTTCATGGTCAATAAAAGGGTTAGTGCACTGGACGACGCTAGCAAGAGGAGTTCTAAAAAGGTCTCGGTAACCTTAACTTGATTTGGGATACCTAAAAAAATGCGCGTCGTAGCTAGCTGGGATTATGGTGAAGAGGGATGACCAATATGTAGTCATATGCAAAGTGTTCCGCCTAAATTCGAAGAAGCTTTGACAAGCTCTTTGTCATAGCACGTGTCTGTTCATTGGCTATTCATGGCACCTCTAGAATCTCATTACAACAGAGCCGTGCTTGCTTTCTAGCAATTTGAGCAAAGATTAAATAGCGTTCGGTTTCTTCGCGCACTGAAAAACTTGAAATTTTGCGCGAAAACAACGATGTGCATTACAGCCGGTTCTTCACGACATAAAGCGGAAAAGCCTTGATAAGACTGAGACTTAAAAAGCTCGAAACTAATAAAAGCAATGCAAGAGCCATTTCTCATACAGAAATTAGCAGCTGTTTTAAGAGGAGGGAAATTGGATCGTCTATAGAAACTCCAACGGGTAGTCTTTTTAAGCCCTTTTTCGCTTTTTTGAAGCTCTTGACCCATTGGCCTGCTGTTAACTCCGGCTATAACCTTACGATATTCAAGCAAGCTTTTCACGAATCTGGCTTTTCTAATATTGCTTGACGCACAGCACTTGTTAATAAGGTATTTTCAGATTATAGAAGGAACGTTTTGAAAAATACTGGCGAATCATCTAGGCCCTTATCTAAATTGCTATCGAAATATACCGAGGTCACACAAATAAACAACCATTTTTAGAAAATGAAAATAGTTGTTGACATGTCTGTTTTTGTTCAGGTGCAACCTGGAGAAACAGTTTGATTTTTGGTTGGGCTACGGTATATATATATAAATGTATATATATAAAGAGAAAAAAAACATGTATAATAACTCAAATGGTCCTAAATGACATCGATCGTTTGGCGTAACAGCAGGGTGTCTGATCTTATAACTTATAATTAAACAAACTTATAATTAAAGACCCGTAAGTAAATTTGTGGCCACACTATGGAAAAAAAATTTCGAAGTCTTAACGATATCCCCGGCATCTTAATACAAGCTGTACAAGAAAGAGCTTACTTCAACAAATAAATTTAATTTCTGCTAATTTAGTCACATCTTATTTCGCCATAAGATGTAACCGTGCAAAATATACACGTTGCCTTGATACATAATTGTTATCATCCTTTGGCCTGTTCTAGGCCAATTCAAGCCCGTTAAGGAACTGCTTAAAAAGTGATTGTTATATGAACAAAAAATAAATAAAAATGTGCATTTTTATCCTTCAAAAGGCGGCGGTTCATAATCCTTGTACTCAATGAGAGAGTTGTGTCACAAAACATTTCAAGAGGCATAACTTTCATATCAACTTGTTGACACTATACAACTCTTTAAAGAGAGCTGGAGGTGCCATGAGCGACTTCTACGATCCAGTGATAGAATGATAGTGTTTAGTATGATCTTCCTAACGGCAGCCATAGTTGCCAAATTACATTGGCCAACCTTCTGAGTCAGGACGAAACGTTTCGCTCTGGATAAAACGAAGCAATCCATATATACATAAATTGTTTTCTTTTTTTGGCTTGCTAACGTCAACAAGTATGAATTCCAGTTCGTTCAGCGGATCGTTGATTACCGCTAGAAAATCTCATTGCAAAATTTACTACTAAATGCAGCGATAAAAATAAACTGTGGCCGGGTACCCTGTTTATAGTGTAAATGTGTTACATATAAATAGCTTTATTGATTGATTTCAGAACCTACTAACAAAATCTTCAAATTATAATGTCTCAAAAGGAACTACACGTACGTGATGCTAGCAGAATATGTCCGACAAGTGGGTCACATGTGTGCATAAATTATTCATTGCAAAATAAACCTTGTCCTTTATTTACGATGGTAAGTCTTTTGTTCGATGGATTTTCTGCCAGGGTCTTTCCGTTATTCTGTGCCAGATCACTCCTGCCGTTCTTATTTTTACCATGAGCTGAATTAGGTACTGATAGAGGCCTTTGGATCGGCATCGCTCCGGTCGGCGAAGGCCGTCGTAACCGAAGAAGGTTCATTCCAGTTCATTGTGCTTTTGTTAGTTGAGCGTTGCTTGTTAGAATATCAGTTAAAGTCATAACACTCGGTATGCCTGCATTATTTATACAAACAGTAGCTGCTGTCAGTCCTCGTTCTCGTTCTCTCTCTGTTCGTATCCTAGTTCTCTTTTTCAACTTACCAACTCTGCCCGGTGAGAAATAGAGATGATGATTGTTGTGGCGGGCATTCAGATCGGGTCCAAAGAACCAAGCAGAAAACTTTTAGGTCAGATTTTAGGAAGTTAAGTGTCACCTTAAACGAATAACGAACGACAGCCAAGGCTTTCGTACAAAACGCTGCGCCTTCGCGAACTGGAATGAATAATTAATTGAAAAGGATCAACTTGTCGCTACAACCCGAGTGGAACTTCGAGTTTTTCATTAAAGTTAAAAATTGCTATTATTTATCTTACAACCTAATAGTTCGTTTCAACTCAGTTACTCCAGATATTTTGTACCGGGTAGTCACCAGCTAACTTTCCTTGTCACTAATTTCATTCCCATATGGCCTTATTTAACTTCTGTCTATTAAATTTCTTTGTAAATTGAATCTAGTTGCCGGACTAGCTGCCTACAATGGCAAGATTAAAACTCATCTATCAAACCATCGGCTAGCTTTTTCTAAGTTGCAAGAGAAATACGTTTACCGAAGCAACACGCATTACTGAAAAATCACTTTCGTGACGCAGCTCTAAGTGATATATTTGTCTATATAATTAGGAACTGTAAGTATGGTAAGGGCCAGCCTAGTCGTATTTTTAGTTTTACCTAAGACCTGCGACTCATTTTCTATTTATTTGGCCAGCTACTTGTGAATGTCAGGTTTAAAGGAACTGGTTTAATTATGGTGTGGCTCCTAACCCTTTAAATTCTTAGTTAAGGGAGGTGTGCTCCGGGGCTCCACACTAGGCTGGCTTATATACTTAATGTACAGAATCACGGCCTTAATGTGTGTTGCAGCTAACTCATCCTTGCAAGCAAAAAACCTTCTTAAATTGTAATCACTGCATATCTCTCTAAATGTCTATAAGGCTAAAGTTACCTTTTTTGAATTTTGCAAGATAATATTATTCTTGCTAAGTTTCCAAATATAGTTGGATCACTCGAACGGTTCCTGCTTCCCTTTTGTCTACCGTTCAGCTCTAACCCTAAGGGAAAATGTCGATAGAACCAGAAGTTGCCGCCATATTGTAGAAATATAGCAATATCGTTAGCAACAAAAAAAAGTTTCTTTAAAATCACGTTTGCTTATGGTTGTTCGAAATTAAGCTTTTTTAGCCTCATCGAATCTCAGTTGAATAACGAAATATGGTCGTGTCGCGCTCGCAGCCTAATGCCAACCAATTCCTTTGTCCCTTCAATATCTTGTCTGCATGCCATATATTCAATCAAAGATTACTTATGCCAAATTTTTCTTACGCTTTAAAGTTTCCTTAATCGTGCTAGGTCTATTCGCTTACTGTCTAAATCTCATTGTATTGAATTTTATTAGGTTAAATGTTTATTTATTGTGAATCTCTAATGGATGAATTGATCTTAGTAAATTTAACATATTTAACAGTATTGCTTCGCGTCGCTCTTTGCGGGTCTAAAACACCTTTTCCTGACCCAAAAGGACGAGTGTATCTGCGTAAGGGTCCCCTTTATATCTCCACTTAATTTTTAAATACTGCATAATGTAACACTCATCCCACTATATACATATGTGTAGCTTTTAATCATGAATATCTCTTTGTGGCGTCGGGGTGGAAAAGTTTCATCATTCTGGTTTGCATGTAGGGTTCTCATAAAGGATCAATCTTTTGCCCCCGGTGACAATCTTGCATAGAAATGAATATTCCTTCTGTTGCGCAGGCAATAAACGATATATTGTCAGACGGTTTCCTTTCATGAGTCCACTTTGTTTCCCTTTCCAAGCTTACTGCGTGCAAAGGATTGGTGACAGTCATCTGGATCGCTCCTGGCCGTATAGAAAGCTCCGAGCAAATCGCGCTGTTTGTTTTTTTGGTCGAGCAGCGTATACAGTTCGTCGGACGTTCGTCTTCAATTTTGCCAACAATAATTTTTCTCTAGGCGGCGCTTTTCTTTGCTGTTTCGAACAAACTTCTTTGAATCAGTGAATCAAATATTAGGTATAAGGAGTGTTGTTACGCTAAGGGTTGACAACACAGAAATAGATCGAATTTTATCTATTCGTTTCTATCGTATGTGGTAGTAGCCAAGTGCTTCATATATACAGGGCAGTACTCCAATACCCCAATATATATATATATATCGAACCATTTAAAATACTTTGCGTTATAGGAGTTGTACGAATCTTGTTTATTTTTTAAAATAAATCTACCGAATTACTGTAGGTGTTAAAAGTGGTATTAGGGGGCAATGAGCGAAATGATATCTATCACCATCTCTCCCGTGTCTGTGCATTTACATATATCGCTAGGTTCATGAAAACCTGGTCTTCCGCAGTGTCTATTACGAAATGCATGCCTGGTAAAGCGAGTGATGACATCTCTGCTTAGCTTGTTGAATCTTTCCCACTCGTTATTCCTCATGGCACTCGAAGTAAAGAAATCCACTCGATTTTCGCGGGTTTGTGCTCTTAGTTTCTAAGGTTGGTCTTGAAGACTTCCGTTATCGAGAGTTTAAGGTGGCGACGTAAGTCCTTGGTCAGCGGGAGGACAATTTCGGCTCAATATGTGTAGTTCCAGTGTTTTTTTAAAGAAGAAGGTTTTAACGAGATTTAATTGTTCGACGTTTCCCTCTGTTAGATTTTTCCAAATGACGCGTATTGCAGAGGTTGCGATCGAAGCTATTTAGAAGTCTAATAAACTAAGAGGGGTTGCAAGGAACGAGTTGAAGACGTCTAACAGTCCACGCTGCCAGCGCTGCCTCCCTCCGTCTTTCGGTGACGTACGTAGTGGAATTTCGGCCGTTCGCATAGAGAAAAGTAACTCCAAGTATAAAAATCGGTTTACATATGCAAGGAACGGCCTAGTCAGATATAAAGCGTCAGCGTTCGCTATCCTGCCTCCCTTTATAATCGTCATTGTTCCGGTTTTGGTCTGGTTAATGGTCAGTCCCAAATCTATAGTTGTCGCGTCAAGTCGGGCTAGAGCCGGCTGCATTTCAGACCTGTTCGACCCATATGCTACTTCAGCCCCTGCAAACAAAATTTCTATGACAGATTTCGTCGATTTGATCTGGGCAATGCTTTATCAAGGTGGAAAATAAGAGTGCGTTTAGGTTGTCCCCCCTCGCTAAGCAACGAAATTGTCTGTGTGAAAGGTGGGAGTTCGGTTCTCTCCTGTAGAACAGCATCGGTGTTGAGCACGTTCACGTTGTCTCTGGACGCTGAAGTCGACAAATACCATGCATAGTGTTTTCCACGACGTGGCCACTGCTCTACTGACATCGGCCATAAGGATCGCGCACGCCATTTCCATGGACCGTGTTCCGGAATCCATCTTGCTCCATTAGGACGGCGGTTAGGCTTTTTGTTTGCTCTCTTAGTCAGAAAACCGGAAAGCAGCTTATGACAAATGCTTTTCTTCACTAAACTCCTAAAGAGCTGCAATAATTGCGGCATTAAGAAGTCTTGTTGAAGTCGATCGCGTTGTACATGGGCATGCTGTGGCGAAAAACCAGTACTGAGTGTAATAACGTGCCTCTTTGCGTAAACATTAATTAGTAAGCGATTTATGACGGTTAGTCGGGGAAGCGGTCGGCCTGCCGCGATGGGTCAGCCACTTGTATAGTTGGTGATCAAACGGATTCCCAGCCGTTCAAGGCATTGTCTTCGTGACGCATGAGGCTTTCTAGAAGTTGCCTTAAAAGCAGTGATTGAGGGGTAAAATTCGGGCTGTGCTTTAGTCACACGCTGAAGGCCCCTCCGGGAATTGAGACGTACGCATGTTTAGTGATGTAGAGTCTCCCACATTGTATCGTTTTCGGATGCGCATCAACGGTTTCACAGCCCGCCTCATTAATGACAGAAAAAAAGATGAATACAGTCAGCCGATCCGACGCAAAAGAGATGTTTGGCCCATGAAGCAAGCATTGTACAGTCTATATCGTATATGCTAAGATTGCAGGGTGTAATTGTGGAACATTCTCCACGTTGTGCACAATTTCATTGCACGCAATTATTTTAAGGGATATGGTACATTTGCTATGAAAATGGTTCGCTCTGAGCTTAAAGTAACCATTTGTCGAATCCACTTTATATAATTAAGAGAGGGAGAGAAAGTAAACATTTTGTTCCCAGGTGACGATGATATGGGAAGCAAGTACATTTGCTGCTGCTCCAACGAGCATATCCCATGAATTTAGCTTAACTCTAAAAATTGAAATTTTATATTTTATATATACATAATTAGTCACTTCTTCTGTCTGTAAATCTGTCTTAACTTCTGTATATCTTTAGCATGCTATACATAAACCCTAATTATTTAATCTGTGTTCACATGATTCCAGTACGCTTTCTTTGTACGAAACATTTACTCATAGAACGAATGTGCTCTCACTGATATATTACTTATTATTATTATTATTATTATATACGTGTACATTTGTTACTTGCTGTTGCTTTTTTGTGCTTACCTGTGGGGTGCTCTTGGAAAATTTTATATTAGCTGAATATCAGCTGCAGTATTAAAATCCAAACAGCATTGGGATTTGAGCCACTTCGTTACTATTTTCAAAGCGCATGTCTAAAATACGAATAATTAGAAGTTTACCTATTAATCATAGAAAATCTTCATGGTGCTATTATGTTCCTCACGAATCAGCGGCCGCGCACTGTAACATGCCCGCTGAATTATAATGACTCAAGTATATTCAAACTTGGCATCGTAATGAGAAGCTTTTAACCGCCATGCCATAAGTGGTTGGCATAATGTCTAACCGTTCTATGCTGTTCGGTGCTTTAAAGCAAGGTAGCTGACATAAAGTACTAGCTCACGTGAAAGCAAACCTATTGCAAGCAAGATCAGCCGAAAACATTTGAACTACGCGCGTGATCACTCATTTCAGCCTCCATATGCCATTTGAGGTATTAGCGGCCTGCACGAGCCTCCATTAACGTGTGTATATATGCGTGCCAATGATATGGAGCCTCGTATGCAGGATATCCAGCAAAAAGCTGTTTCGAGCCCGCAGTTTTCATTAGCATCTTACCCTTTATTAGTAGTATGTTTTGTTGACAATGTTGGTCAGATATATGCTGCGATGACTAAATTGATCGCCTAGTTTCTCACTAAAATCTTGGCTCTTGCTACTGGTGCGATACGTGGAGGCAATTTTCTAATGTTGTTAATGAAAACGTATCTAAGTAGGTGTATTAGCTGTTTCATCATTTAGCGCACTCATTCCGAATCTGAAATACTCCGAAATTCGATTAAATTCGAATAAAAAATTAAAAAGCTCTTTTTCAGCTTAGATAATTGACTATAGCGTCTGAATTTTCATCGTAATAATTTCACAGCGGTTCCGTTAAAAAGCTAAGGTAGAGTTTTTCGCGAAGATGAATTAGGAACATCTTCTAAGTAATGAAGGCTGTGCAGATATTTCAAGCTCGCTCTGCGGGCGTAGCAAAATCAAATAAAACACATAATTTTTGGTCGTATATAGAAATAGACAGCGTTTAACTTTGCAAGCTTTAGAATCGTCCCTCTGCTTGTTACAAAAAACAAGGGAACAAAAATTTTGTGCTTTTTGATTTGCATCATGTACACTAGTCCGAAACAGTATGAGGAATAACCTTTTACAAGTTAGCTAAAACATAGAGAAAAAAAAAAACTGCTTTTTAACCCGTATGAACGGCTTGGTAGTTCATACCGCAGCACGTGATTTTAAGCATTATATTAATTTGGAGGTACCCCCACGGCTAGCACCTAGAGAGGTGTTTTAAACGTACTGTGAAAGAAATAGGCACACACATGAATGCGTATTATCTCGATCTAAAGATAAAACCTTAAAGCTCGTCTGTTCGGTCCGGGTTTAGTGAAAAAAAATTCGAGTAATTTATATTCCTGCTTATCCGTCCTTCAAACGTTACAAGCTGCAAATGTCGATACAAATTCAATTTGAGAGTCTTCAGGAAAGAATAGGAGTGAGTTTCTAAATTGAGAAGTTTTTTTATGCTTCGTTTTTAAGACTGCATCTAAACAAAAACATATACTGCAATAATATTTCTAATGTTTATTCAATCTAGCCACCATTCGATGACAACTTTATCTCGAGACCTAAACCACTAGCTAGTTTTTCTAAAATATTACTCCGTTAATCTGCTTGATTTACTAACTCTTTGTCTTTTGTGACCCTGTCTAAAGCAATATTGGTCGGTGTAAGCCAGTTGACGTGTCGCTCACTTGCACTACATAAGAAAATATTCACGAAATTAAATTTCTAGCTGATGAAAAACCAAAAGCCTCAAAAGTGCAAGAGCTGAAAGGAAGGTCAAGTAATTCAAGAAGCTAAACAAACACAAAGGTTGTATGAAACAAACCTCCCTCTAATACGACTTATTGTAACATTTAAAAAAAAACTAAATATTGGAGTATGTTTGGCCTACCCAACTAGCAATTGAATATCTACTCTTTAAGACGGCTGCCAATTTCTGCCTCAAAAACCCCCATCAAAAACGGTATGAGAACTGGTTGTGCGAGCCATTTGAATCAATTTCCGAGTACTTTAAACTTTACTGAGGTTTTCTAGTTTTCCTTACAAGAATCTTTCTCGGATTTGTCTCGGCACGTGGAAGCTGGCAACAACATTGACCATAGATTTCCGGCGGAAAAATTTTCATACTTGGCAGGACTTCGTTCTCGGAAGGTTTATATAATAACTGACGTTTGCTTGAATCTCTAATATGGTATTATACATTATAGGTAATTATGTTTAAATTATTTAGACGGTAAGCTTAATTACAGGCGACGTTCTGTGTCTGTGTACCCTTGTAGGCAACGATTATCGTTTGCGTCGCACTGGCAGCACCCAGTTTAGCGGTTTACCAGAAATCTGCTTCGCCAGATGGGGGCTTACTCCTCCAAAATAAGGAAGGCTCGTTTGCTGATCGATCCTCTACGATCAGTGCGGACAGAGATGTACCCATATCTCGTCGACCCCAAACAGTTGTTCCGACGGAACGGTCTGATGTAACTCGCCGACCTCAGAAGATTCTTCCGATAGAACAGTATGACGTGTCTCCTCAGTCTAGGCGTGAAAAGGGGATTCGCGAAATATCCGAGAATAACAATGGCAGAGTATATCGTACACCGCACGTTGAATCCGTCTCGTCTTCCCAGGTAAGTGATATCATTGGATTTATTACGACGGTATGTTCTGAATTATTTATGACAACTCATTTATGATCTGTGCATAGCGGGTTTGGCCTTCTGCAAATCCTAAAGCTATAATTAACAAACGTCATGTACTTCAGGGGTGGTCAGTAGGTCAAAACAACAATCAACAACATAAACAATTTGAACTCCCATCTGCAAAAGTCAAAATATTCTATGCATCGCTTCTAAAAGCTTCGCAAGCATCGTTCAGTGTTACAGATCCTCGGAAAACAGAGGATAATAAGGAAAATACCGGACTTGCTCTTAACAGAGGTGAGTAACTATTATTTGTATTTAGAACAGTGATATTCGTGTAGTGATTCGCCCACGTAGTCATATCAAAAACCAGATAAACAAGCTTTGCTTTAACATAATAATAATGTTCTCAGAATACGGAGCACTAAAATGTTATGTGACTATGATGATATGTGGACAGAGAGCTTCGTATCAACTCGTTCGATTAGTAAACTCATATTTAGATTGCGTTGTATATATACTAGAACAGTCTAGAGCAAGCTATTGCAACGATATTCAGAAGGTTTATGTGGGGAATCTAGAACGAGGGATTTCAAGCCACAGCTTATAGTTCAATCTGCGATAGGGTGAACTTTCGGGCCGAGGTAATGAACGCAGATTAGCAAATAATAATAGACCCATACGATCTTTACTCAGACAGGAAGATCTCTTTTTTATAGCTTACAGCTTAACCACTTGTAGGGCATCTTGTAGAGTCGAATTATACTTCACAGGCTTTATATACACTAAATCTAAACACTATTGGTGGATAACACGATATCTACGTCTGTTCTCCTGATAACAGTTGCAGGAGGCAGCTGGTTGGAGACGTCGGTGACATCTAAACAACTAGATACACAGAAAGAAGAGAAAAATGCAATTCCTATAATAATTATTCAACAACAGCATGAGCCACAATCACTTAAGCAGCGGACAAGATTAGTAGATGAAGTTCCCGTTCCTTCTAAATCAAAGCAGTATGTATCGTCAAATTCTCCAATTACGTACCATGACCATAGACCACGTTTCCAGACAGCGCAGATGACGGCAAACCAGAATCAAATAACCAATCTTGGCAGCACTCCTAAAAAGCTTATAAGTAAGTTGACAAGGAAAAAGTAAATCTATTAATGTTCTTAAGGCAACATCGGGTCCTATTCTGATGATGTTAGGAAAGTAGTGCACCCTTCTACCCACTAACTGATTCTAGATTCTTCTAGGCGTAAGACTGAATCGCTTGCAACGCTTTTTTTTGTCAACTATTGTTATAATTTGCAGGATCTCATTTGCACTTTCATAAAACATCTTTTCAAATGCCTTCCTCAGGGCTTCTCCCAAAAACACTTGTGTAAACATTATCTTATCATCTATTTGCCGTTTAAATAGCTAAACATTAGCAGTTGAACAGCAAATAATTGCCTTATAATATGTATGCATTTGTAAGCCTTCCATGATTTCCTTGTAAATGAGGGTCAGAACCATCTCAGTACGCTTCGATCTGGTTGGTTTCTGTTACAATTCTGGCGTCGCGCAGCTTTTCCATGTTTTTACTTTGAGAACTAGTCGAGTCGCTCTGTCAATTTCATAACGCCAAATAAACCGCCTTAGTTGCATTATGCGAAACCAAACAAGATTAATGAAGCCTCATAGAAGAAGAATAGCTAAGCTTACGTTACTTCGACGATCTGAAGTCTTTCGTACGTAGTACAGCATCAAGAATTTTGCTTGCTGTATTCAGAAAATTCAATTTTTCGCTAACGCATATATTTTCGATCTACACCTAAAGTGCCTGTCCTCAGGACTTCGCTAGAAAATCCACCAAAAGCGCCATTTTTTGACCATGGGACCGGAAAACCGAAGACCTCATTTTACGTACATATTCTAAATCAAGAAAGCGAATCCGGCAGACGTTTGGAGCGGACTGAGCCGGACTAAAATAGTAGCATCGAAACTTTTATCTAACACTGCTCTTGCAATTGTAAATGAGATTGTCTGCCTTTGACTGAATATTGTAATTGTCGGTCCAATAATGTAATGTAAATTTTTCGTATAACTAGCCTCTCCATGCTGTTCTCACTTCCAGCTGATCTGGTAAAATTTTCCTCACCGATTCAAAGCGATTCAAACCATCGCAACGTTGGCGTATTTAGGGAGAAACCTCAACAAAAGCAATTGATACCAGTGATTATTATTCAGGAGACAAATGCTCTTAACGCACACGTGGTTGCTGATGGTAGTCAACTGATAACGTCACAGGAAGAAGATCAACAACAGGGCAAATATATGAGGAGGTATTTATTACAATCAGTATCGAAAGAAAATTTCTAACAATAATATTTCTTACAAAAATTACATCGAATCCGCTACTGTATAAAGATAAGTTTGTCTATTTCTATGTTTCTATTAGATAAAGGCTGTTATCCTCTCTAGTCGCCTGAGGTTTTTCTCAATGAGGTCGTTTTCCGTTTGATCTAGGGAATTAGTTGATATAAATCCAGAAGTATGTGTTGGGGTAAAACTGCAATTGCGCTGTTATCTTGCTACTCTAATTCCGCTACCCTGCAATAAAAGGAATTAAGCCCGTAATACCTCGTTTGCCTTTATGTTATTACCTTTTATGCAGTTGTCTAATTGCTCGGTAAGTGTAGCCCACCATCCAATTTATTATAGTTGTTGAACTACAAACCATTGTCGTTATTCCGCCTTACCGCGTTGATCTCGTCATTTTTCAATTGTCATCATAGATCCTTTTCCGTTAACGTTTGTGCGGTTCACCCGTTGATGTTCTACTACAATTGGCCTTTTGGGCCCATTTTTGAGGATCATTTTTTTTATTTAACACAATTTGTCCCTTGTTGTTACTAATTGTTAAGCAGTTTCCATTTGTATATCGTGAGCCCATGCATTTTTCGAATAGGCGTATTTGTTGACGATATGAGTCTTTTTTTTTTTTTTTTTTTGGTTTTTTTTTTAATGGTTTGTCTCTCTTCTGGCTTGCTGTATAATTATAACGATGTAACCGGCTGATTTGACATTTCGACTAGAGCCATTTTAATATTATATGTCTCCAATGACACCAAAATATAAAGGCTAACTGCGTTGACTAATACTAATTTAAGGAAGTTGACCCTTTTGAAGATTTTTCACAAGCGTTACGAATGATCGCTGTTTTCTAAATACAAGATAAGCATAACATTGGATTTTGGGGAACAATTAAGATCTTTTTCATTTTTAGGATTAAGGGCCAACATGTCGGAATTGGAATAAATATGTTGATGCTGAAGTAAAAAAACGTATTCATTAAACGGTATAAATATAAAAATGTATCAAAATTACCGGGAAGTTCCAAATGGGAATAAGTGGAAAAGGGTAAACGGTTTTAATCAACTAGGATCTCCAATTGGCATCACATACACTGCTATAGGTTAACTTTGTGTGTATTGGCGGATTAGAATATGTTTGGACTTGTATTGGGCATTAAGTGCTTTCGGATTAATTGTCGTAAAATACTTAGGAAAATGGGCTGCAATGAGATATTTCAAAGGGGAAAACGGGATCATTCCAACAGGGTAATTAAGAGAAAGCACCATAGGTCTTTAACGCAGAGTATACTTATTACAACCAGATATCTGTAAACGGATGTCGGCTTGGTATTACGCAATAGCTTATTTTTAGTTAGGTGTAACACGAATGAAATAAGAGGCAACAATGACAGACTGAATAAAAGAAACAGAATTACTCTTCGTGTATACTATATGAGTTATAGCTCACGTTATATGGGAGACGGCTATGTCTAGTCCAGCTTGATCTCTATATTTCGGGTTTTATGTCTGCTATTGCCGCTAAGCGCTCCATCAGACGGCTGGCTTCCAGCGCGAAGTGAAGTCTGTCTATTCGAACTTAGATCAGAACGTGTCCCTAAGATTAGCAAACAAATATGTTACCCACTAGGGTATCATGGGAGCCGCATATTACTATAACTGTGAATCTGCTAGAGTCACGCATGTAGAGTAATCCCTTTGACCAAATTCCTCATGTGATTCTTTTCTCAGGTCTAGTTCTAACCTGGGGTAAGTTGCGGCTAAGACTTTGCTAAATGGTTGAATTACATTCTAAAAACGAATAATTTCCTTTCTCACAGAGCGCGATTCTAAGTTAGGGAAGTTGACTCTTTTCAGGAACTTGTTCAGCAACCTCTGAAAAGTTGTTATTGGGAAATGGTCTATTTTTGTCAAGCAAAATACAAAATACGTCTAAAATTGTAATTTCGAAACGGTTACGATTTTTAGATGCTTACTGTTGAAGGATAAAACGTCAATTCACGCGTCACTGGCGGAGTCTGTAAATATGGTGATCTGAAAATTAGAAAGAGGATTAATTAGAGGTGATAGAATCCGTATATTGCACACCGTGGTATTTCCTTTGTTCGTTTGCTTCTACCTGCAGTTAATCCAAGCTGGAGCTAAGAAAAATATTGCGTATATTTTGGCCCATTTTGATCCTTGTGTCTACGTAGACATTCTATATTCTTTTATTTTCATGGGCTCAACGCTTTTCGATGAGCGTCGGGGTATTTGTCAACAGGTATACTAGACAATTAATTAAATGCTTTGAAGTTTTACTGGAAAACAGCAAACACGCAAGTGTGGCGCCAGAAATCAGCTATAAGTCTGTTTGTAGCTTAAGAAACCTGGGCCTATGCCGATATTTGTTAAATAGGTAGTGGAATGATGCTTACCCAATGGATCTGTGTTTAAAGACTAAGGTTCGGGTTAGGTCAGGCCTTAACGATAGACTTAGATTTCGTACAAATGGAGCCAAACTTAATTGGGTTTTAATTTTTAGAGTCGTCTTGAAGTTGTTATTTCAAACCAATTAGTTACTTTCTCCATTGCTAGCAAGATGCATTGTGGCAAAGGAGTAATCCTTACGGGAAAACGGGGCCACGGAGGTACAGGAAGTGCAAGGTTACTAGAGCATTCCTAGTGAAGAGCAGCATCATTGTACTAGGGCAAGTGCAACGCAAGATAACTTTGATGAACGAAACGGTATCACTGAAGCAAGTCAATGTGTATTAATGAGCCAATTTTAGTAGTTCTATTTTTCTGATTAAAATAGCAGAAAACAATTACTGGTGACTGGAATTATTTAGAATTTATTTTACATATCGGTGTGGAAATTGATGGAAAGAGACGAATTAAGTGAAATGGGAAAACATAAAAAGTTCTGCGACATTTTGTGCGTTATTCATTAACAGAGTAACCTAGTAATAGTAGTGATAGTAACTCGATAATTAGCCTGTATCAGAGCTAGGCTGAATTAAGTTAACTCAGATAAAATCTCAACGATAGACGTGCGAACCCTCACTTTACACAAATAGGTAGAGCAGTATCTTTTCGAGCCTCTATTAGTAATTGTGGTCGGTTATTTTCTCAGGTAGCAGGAAATTCACTACGACTACGGATTAATTATGTTAAGTCTTCTAAGCTATTTTTAACAGAACAATGAGATTACTGACAGATTCCAACAGGGAAAAGGAGTCAACCAACAACTAGAACAATATCATAGGATAGCAGCTACAACGTAGTGGGATCAAAAAGACAATGTGACCGCTTGTCAAAAAAAAAGAAGGTGCTAAGTTTGCAACTTAACTTTAGTTATTCAGATTCCATGTAAGCCTAATGACATTAATGTGGATTAGATTAGATTAGACTGATAAAATAACTGCATGACAAAATAAAACTCTTGTTGAAAATTTCAATAAAAGACTGGAATCACTGTTTTAAATTCAATTGGGCGCAACAAGCCATTTCAACAAAAGGACAAAATAAGTACACCGAGGAGACAAGGTCACTGGGAGAAAGTAATAGAGCTTCTATAATCGAAGACCTGAATTTTTTACCAAATAAATTCGTTTATATCTTAATAGGGTGGTGAAATTATTATAGTGAGGTGGCAAAATATCAGAGTAAGAGAAAAGGCTAAATCAAATGAAGTAACTGCTACGAGGTAGCGTAATGATATGTACAGTGGTTGCGTTGAATCAAGTGTGACATCATCAAATAGAGCGCGCTCAATGTTTTGGACGATATATTCAGGAACTATCAAAGATTCTAGATGGTAAAATATGTATAGATGGAAAATTGAATTTTGCGCGTGCTTGATGGTATTAGGTACGAAGTCAAATGTATTAATATTAGAGCAGGATGCTTAAATAGTGTAAATGGGATAACGGCACAAGTTAAACTACATAACTGCAACTGGATGAGTTTTGATGCGAACCACAACGGTGGTTAAACTTGACAGCTTCAACGAATCAGATTATTTAAATAAATTGGAAAACGGGTTCGGATAGCCTGCGGGTCACTGTATTATCTACTAATTCCGCTAGATCTATTAACGTTGTCTATTCTTGTTGCATTATATTAGCTCTTCTCCTTCCGAGTATGGACCTGGCGGCCGGAGGGTATTAACGTGGAATAAGCAGGCGAACGAATCCAGTTCCCAACCGGCCTTGCAAGAGGCTCGAATGAAACAGCAATGGCCCCAGGGGACTGGAAATACAGGCTTCGCAGACAACATCACTGTTCCTGGGCATTCTAAAAAGCAGCAAGATACTAAAGATGTTTGGCAAGTAAAGCAAAATCAACCGAATCTGGACAATCGCTGGATTGTCCACCATCAAAGAGACGACTCTCCTTGGAAGCCGAGTCCTTCGCTAGTAAATGATACTCGGAAAAACACTGTAAAAAAGCCAAGATGGGTGATAACTGACAATCAAAACCAAGCTTGGACTCCAAGTCCGTCGGACACTTATGGCAAAAGCCAACATGAAAAACCTCACAAACATGTTGATTGGAATTCGCAGAGTCTAGTCCAGAGACAATCTGAAGGTTTGATTCGGGAACAAGCAAAAGGAACCTCAATAGATCATATAGTTCCTAAAGGATGGGTTAACTCAGACGGACAGCACGAGAATTCACCGAGCAATTATCCTATTAGCTGGACACAATTAGTCGCGCAGCCGTTTCATCAGGAGAAAACTCAAACTGAACAAAAACGTCTCTGGCAAGATCAAGCACAACAAATGCAATTTGATTTTCCTTTCCAGCAACCACAGCATACGAAATTACTACCACCGAATGAGCTTGAGCAGTACCCCCATGGAACGCGAAGATCCCACCACAACGAGAGCGATTGGTCACCTTTTGATTCTCAGCAAAACCACTTTGGTCCATATATGGTAAAAAATGTGCATCAGGAACGAGCTCAGCCTCAGAAAGCTATATTGCCTACTAAAACGGTGCCAGTTCACAAACAAGGACAAGATCTTCTTACCCAGACACGGTCGAATGATTCGTCGGAAAAAAATGTACAGCAACAGTTAAAACAGAAATCGGCAGAAACCCGTCTGGAAAATAACCGGCCCAAAAATTTAAGAAAAATTTTAGTGCCACTCTATCAACAGAAAACTAACGTGTCTAATGAGCGGCATTCGAGCAGACAACAAGTACAGGAACAACAAACATCCTCCAGACAGCTATGGGATTTATTTTCATGGGTGAGTTCATACTGTCGTATAGCAGAGGTGAGAGGGCTACACGGGCAACAGCTAGTAAATGGCTGTCATTTATTTATAGAACATATATTTTATGATATTTTCTCCATGACAGACTTCTAACAGCTGTATTGGTTTCGATCGAAATCAATTTAAAGATACTTCCTCCTAGATCGAAGATTAGCACAACTGAGACTTTGCCAAGACATTTTACTTTGAAAAAAAAAAAGAAGTGCGTTTTTTTCTTAATAACCGTCCCTTCCTTTTTAAAATCTTTGTTTTTTGCAACGAATCTAGCTTGTACAACGAACTTTTCCCAATTTTTTGACTGACTGAAAAATATCTTTTATATCGTTTTGTTCCAAACACACATTAAAATGTGTCGGCAATGCTGAATCGTTAGCAAGAAGATTTCAACACAAATCTAGCGAACATCGAATAGTTATTATTACTATTATTATTATGCAAATTGCACTATTTGCGTTTTTACGAAACTATTAATCTATTAGAAATAAATACAGGGAAACCTTTGAATAAAGATCATCAGTTTACACATAGGACAAACTGAAATGATCTCAATAAACAGTCCGTGTTTGGAACTACTCTAAGAACCATCCAGGCAAGCAATTTTGGAGACTGTGATGCAATTGTAGCAGAATCTTACGGAAAGCTAAGTGTGTAAAGAAAACAAAGGGCATAATTTTAATTAAAAATTCAACACCTTAAAGATCGGGATGATCAAGACTGGAATGGATCGTTCGTTGGCAACAAACGAAAAATATATATTGGATAAAAACCAGCGAAAGAAAAGACTTTTTGTTTATTATTAGGAGCTGACGCGCTTATTATTCTTCTGTAGAATCCGCTGGAATTAACTGTTTAACATCTGACATACAGATCGATATAAGGAACTAATTGATATAAGGCAATTTTTCCTATAAAATGACGATCAGTGAGGCTCAGATAAAAGTTCCTATGAAAGTAATATTCAATAGACACTTCACAAACTGAAACCACGGGAATGAGCTCTTAATTAGCTTTCATAGACTCTAGTCGGCAGTCCCTAATATTGATAAATAATTAAATCAGGTAAAGCGGTGAGCCGCAGTTTTTTAATTTAATCAGTGATGTAGATAGTAATAAGTGAAAGGTAATAATAAAAACATGAAACAGTCAGCATTTTATTAGATTAGAAAATAGATATTTTATTATGATTAGAAAAATATCGGCGAAATGTCCACCTTACATCGTCTAAAGGTTGACCCATACGGGGATACATTGTCTATTCGTCTACTATTCGCGGGCCAGATTTGAAAGCACTTAAGCGCGTATTATAATAACAAGCGATTAGGGATGCTAGCGGTACAACAGTTTCGCGATGGACAACACAACTACAAACACAATCTCCACTAAAATATTCCCGCGTCACCCTCATAAAGCTCACAGAGGAGCTAGGCAGTTTACTGTAATATGACAAAAACTATATTTTTGTTAAGCGATTCCTGTTTTTCTCTGAGGTTTAGCATTCCAAGCTTTCGCAGTGTGTCAAAACATTTTAGAATATCATTTATGGGCGAGGAAGCTCATATAAAGGAGTGTGCCAAGGAAATCTTAAATTTTGAGCAAATACAGACTCGTCAAAAAAAAACTTTACGCAATCAAGAAGGAGTAGAAGTTATTTCAATGCGTAGCTACAGGTTATGAAACGGGGAAGTATGGGTACGACATGAAACAGAAGCTCAACTTTTTAAGGATCGTTTCGAAGATCGACTCAGACCAAAAAGGCCGTTTGATCTAAGTTAAAAAAAAAATCACGCTCTTCTTCAGTGGCTTCTGTGCTTTTAAGGAATTGTGCATTATGAATAATTACCGGGTAATTTTTTTACAACGAATTATTAGCAAGAAATTCGAAGAAGGTTTCATAGTGTTATTCGCTAATAATAACTACGAAAAAACGAATCGCGGGTTTGTTATTACGATGATTCACCTGCTCGTTACTTATATCACTTGTTTTTGTAAGATCTGTCTGAACTTCCATATTAATTAGGTATAGCTCCATAGTTTACCGCTAAATTTCAGAAAAAAAACTTGGAAGGAAAAAGCTTTGATCGAAAAAATCCAATGAAACGAGAGTACAACTGAAATGAATAAATTCGAAAACTATTTCAACCTGTGAAAACACGGTTGCTCATAGTGAATTCGACAAGGTTTAATTTAATTAGGACAGCTAGAATATGGACAAATATAGTAAGCACAGAGCTGAATGGTCGATACCTTTCGTGCTCGGTAATTATATGACTCTTAACTTGCTGCAACGAGCAATCAAAAATAAGGACGTGGTAGGGCCACGTCGGCAAGATTTTACTAAGAGTCAGTAAAAATCTCTCTTAAATAAATAAAAATATCTTAAATACATTTTTCTTTTTCTGTTGCATGGCATCTTTAGCGCTACACAGGCATACCACAAACTTAGTCAATGCTCCAAAACAGTCTTTTCTATTTTCAAACCGCAAATTAATTTCCCTCGACTTGAATCCTTGATGCGAACTTCTTCCATCAGGCAAGTCCTTCCACTAAAGATGAATAGAATCGTTCGTATGTTCGTACATACACACTTTAGTCACTTATGATGTACGTCTGTATCTGAAGTAAAAGACCTCTGTATTGTGTCTACAGCAATATCAACAACTGCCGGATACTGCGTCCTGGAAACCCTTTCGAACCGAAGGACACAATACAAGTGATGCCTTCAGTTCAACTAGCAGAATACAAACGCCAGCGGCACGACCTGTCAGTGGTGGCTGGCCACCGAACTGCAATGACGGCAGCCAGAATGAACTAAGGCAGCATTTACAACAAACAGAGTCTCCGCAAGATCAGAACCGTCAGCAACATCAGGAACACCCGCAAGAGTTGCACCATACGTCACATTTTGGAAACAGTAATCTTCAATGGCACGACATTTATGGATATTCACGTAAAAGTTAGTACCTCTTCACTAAACGAATACGTTATTGTAATACAATGTAGCTGACCGCTAGGGTGTAATGCAATAAATATTATCTAGCTAACCTTTGTGTCATCTTACGCAACAATATATTAGAAGCGATAATGTAAAAAATATATAATATATTTTGATATTTTGTGTCAGCATTAAAAAAGCACAAACACTGAGTTCCAGCTATTCACATTTTTTATCCAAAGGCCAATCTTTTTTAACAAACACTCGTGTATCAAACAGTTATGTCTCCTCTCCATCTAACTGACCCTTAATTTCTTGTAACCATGACAGTCTATAGACAGTCCTTTAACACATATCTTCGAAGTACGATTCAGATGCTTCAAGCCTGCGATGGAAAAGCTAGAGATGAAATCGGTATAACCTGAAAGTTGCCCAATAGCGTGAACGTAAATTAAATTAAAATACATTTAAAAAAAAAACCTGAGTTAGAGTGATTAGGGGATGCACGTTGTAGATAACAGAAATTTTACCTGCCAATAAGATGTTTCTAGGGAGCAACACAGGTGTTTAATGCGTCAATAGATAACACATTAAATATTAAAAGGTTACTCAGAGAAAGTTGGTGCTGGACATAATAAACCATCTTTCATTCAAGAGACCTCATGGCGCGAGCACCATAGCCAACCAACGTGGACAAAGGGAGCGTCAGAGTCAGCAACTGAATGGAGCCTGCAACACGACTCAGGTGGTGATCCAACAAATAATGATGGGTCTGGGTCTACAGCTACTGCTATAGGGCCTACTTTTAGCCCCATACAAAAACAACACACGAACTTAACTTCCAAGGTTCGTATGCGTAGTGTGACAACTAAATCGAAAAATAAACCTACCGGTGTTTTGAATTACGGCCACTAACACTGCTTAAAAAATACAGTGGAATCCGCTTTTTTATTGAGGAATATATTTCAAGTCTTTTACCGAATATTCGTGAATAATTAGTATGTTACATGTCAGTATTTTGGGCTATATTTCTCCAAAATAGTTGTGTTGCAAGCTGTGACTTGAAAGTTACTATAGGTTTGCTCGATTAACTCTAGCTGCTTTATGTGCGGAAATCAAAGTGTGCCCAGGCTATTGTGGGAGCTTACAATAAAGTAAACCTGCTTCGATTTCGGTTGTCGTTTTATACAGTTCACTATTCCACAAGATATTATATGACCTGACGAACTTGTAAGCTTTTCCGGCTTGACAAAATGTTGTCCGAGATGACGAGTGTAATGACCATGCAATAAATTTAACAACCTCAACGTAGAATTTATAGATACTTCTCTCCTACAAGCAAATTTCCAATTCGCGCCTAAAGTTTTAATGTCTGGTTCATTCTACAAAAAACTTAGTGATTAACCAAAGTCTACCTAAACGTAGGTATACAGCGTCTATGCAGTAAGCGAAGAATCGCACGCACATTGCTGAACACTAGTAGATTGTCTGCTTTACGTATTCAAAGACTACATTTTTACAGTAGGAAAGGAGGAGGGTTATCTGTGACGATCGGCACCAGATTTTACTGGAGATGCTTTTAGTACCGGGAGGCCGTCTGGAGGCCATGACAAATAAAGGTACCAGCGTATGTTCCAAGGCCATCATCAGTGAACGTAATCATACTCGTAAAGTGCAATAGCTCCCACATATTACACGTCCGTTTGACACGAGTAGTAGTGTGCGTCGGCGAGACCGACGTGAAGTGTTCTTGCAAAAATATATTAAAAAAAAATTTTAAAGAGGAAATACTAGTGAACTCAAAACATAAAACAAAAGTATACCCCTCCCACATGCAAAGACTTAATGAATGCAATTTAATAGGCGTGAAATCTTGGCCCAAACATCTTGGCTGCGCGAATGACACGGGATTCTGAGAAAACGTGCAAAGCGTCCCCGCACTACAAGCTGGCTGCATTTGAAGGAGGACACCGCAACCACTATGTCGAAGCTAAAGGAATTTCGATGGCTTGTATAAAAAAGTACAAAGAGCACTCCAAGATACCCCGACCAGTACCAAATCAGAGCTAAAGAAATAAGAAACTTGAAAAGAACTTGATGAGTTTAAAATAATAAGAGCGAAATCAATAAACATAAACAGAGAAATTGTAACAAGGACAAAAGGGTAACAGGCCCATTCACCGCAACAGGGAACGCATTCAAAGAAATACTAGAATAACTTGGAAAGACGTTAGGCTACAAAAATTAAACTGAGTTAAAGAAAACAAGTTGGTATATCAACAAGAGATGGAAAATCACTCAGCATAGGCTATCAATATGGAGCTTGAAACACTTAAGGAAAATTTAAACGATATGTACGCGAAAATATACACACATACATCGCTTTAATTTGAATGCATGTTAATAGCTCATCTCGATTTTTCTTCGGTCACTCGTTCTTAAGGCGTTTTTTAATTAGAATGAAACGCACAGTCCGTCATGATCGCTATGCTGTACGTGGCCACCAGGGCTGTCGTCACTATAGATGTTATATCTCAGTATACATCCTTTATTATACTAGATTAATGGTAATATGCATCTTTCATTTACAACCTTTTTATTAAATTGACTTAGAATTGTGCACGAATTTAAGTAATTGCATAACAAGGAAGCGACAAGCAATCACAGATGCAAGACTTCCCGGCAGCTACAAAACAAGGGGAAATTCAAATCGGTGGGGACGACACGCTGGAGGTTTCGTTAGGAAACCATGAATGTCCAGAAATAGGCTAATGATCCGGGCTCAAATGAAGAAGCTACTAACAGAAGGAAGAGAAGCAAATGTGCACAATTATTAACGTCTTTAAAACAATAACAGGTAATATAAAAGAAACTCGCTGGATTATAAAACAACACACAAGGGCTACAAAATATTGCATTTTACAAAAAGATTGGCTGCCGAAGAAGCAAAAAAAGCCATGCAAAAATCCATATCGTACCCTAGGTCATCACCAAGGAAGATATAGAGGGAAGAATTGATCTAGAGAAGGACGGAATCGGAAAACACTAGTAGCTAATGGTAGACAAAGAAATGACGTAAATTAAAAATTGCACTCCCATACTGCCTTGTATGCCGATAAATAGTGCCCTTATAGTGCAAAGAAGAATGACCGAAGCATCTAGCATCACGGGTGTGGAACCGTGATTGCACCACGAAGGTTATGTGTTATGACTACATAGAGACTAAAGACCCATTACACGGCGAACTCGTTGGAATGCTTAACAGAATGTGAAAGAATGAAAAGATTGAAAGCGCTAGGCAAAATAAATGAAAGCCTACCTAAAAAAGCAACCTGAGCCATGGTAAAAACACTAGGAACGGATTTCTGGTACACGAGCACAACTAGGAGTTGAATGAACCCACATAGACCAATAGTCCTAACACTTCACAGGCGACGAGTGTACGGAAGGATGGTAAAGCATGAAAGAACTAAACGAAGTAGAACGACTACAAGATATCAGTCTTAATGACACAGATACTACAGTAAAACCGGATCGAACGCTAGCATTAGTAACTAGCAAGCCTAGCATGGAGTGGCTCAATTTTACGCCACTTTGGCGGCACAGCTCTATGGCATCAACTAGTTTAACCTATGATGAGACAAAAAACAAAAAAGGGCTGCCTCTGGATAAAAACACTAAAAAAATTGTCAGGTTTAATTATATATATATATATATATATATATATATGATTTGGAAGCAGAAGCATCAGACTGGTCTAACTCTCTTTGACGATGGTCACCTAAAAAAAATTGAAAACTTTTGTACGAAACTTAAAGCTGATGTGGGAAGATTCTTACCTGTGTATGCTACAATGTATGAAGAAAAATCACAAAAGAGGCAGGAACAACACATCCGCCGGTGAGCGTAGCGCGCAAGCGAAATCAAGAGGAGCAAAGGTTCAGAAAAGGATCAAAAGTTATTCAACACGGGAGAGGAAATTACACCAAAATCGATCGTAGAAGTGCTTACAAAAGCGTGTGAACTGCCTCAGTCATCCACCGTATAATATATAATTGTAAACAAGAGCACGTATGCACTGCACTAAGACAAAAAGGCAGTATCGCAGGTCAAGAAAAAACACACAGGTATGGTTACAACATGGCTAAAACTCCAAAGTTACGAAAAAAATAAAGAGTTCAACTCATCCAATAAAGAAATAGAGAAGAGCTTTGCAAAGAAGTAAAGAACGACGTCTAGGCAAGACCTGATGGACAAGTTAGGGAAACCTTAGCTGACGTTTATCAATGTGCTGGGGGAAAGGCGGTGGAAAGGCTATATTACTGTTACGCAGATCCTGTACATTCAGCAGGCATGACACAAGAGGAGGGCATCCCTTTGATCTAACCACGAGAAGTTGAATCGGTGATAAAGCGATTGTTACAAAACAAGACTCTCAGGCCAAACTAAGTCCTAGCCGGAGTGGTGAGGAAGTTTAAAATGTTTAAAGTTTAAAATGCCCGAAATACTTACAGCTATAACGGAAAACATTGCCTTTGGAAAAATGCAGGTACCATTCAGAAGTGAAGAAGTAGACCCTTATTAATGAGAATCATATTAGATGTAGCCCTCAAAAGAAGTGCAAATATCGACATCGTAACTTAAGCGGCAATATTTGCCTGTAGTCTAGGTAAGGACCGTACTGAGAGCCCGGAAACAACAGAAAAGAAACAGAGACTTTTGTTCACCGTAACGAAATCCACATTCCTCTACTCAGTGCTTAGTTAAAGCCCTGCCACGATTAGGCCAAGACGTAGCAAAACGAGCCTTTTGAAAACACAAGGATAGGTAACAATAGGGGTAGTATAAGCGTACAGGACCGTGGAAACGCCCTTTGGGTCTCACACGAGTGATCCCTTGGTCAAGAAGGAGTGAATGCGAGAATAGCAAAAAGATAGACCAATCACCTCATTCCTCATTTCAAAATTCCTCATTCCTCATTCCCACTTCAAAATTTTTCGACGGATCATGAAGACACAAACTGCCTTATTGTACAAGTGTTAACTGGCCATGAGCGTTTTCAGAAGTGTTTACATAGTACAAAGACTTGCAAAGAGCTACCTGCGCGACGTGTAATCCGGGCAACCTAGACGACGTTACCCACACGATTCCGTCATGCCCATCTTTGTAGTACGCACACAGAGGTTTGCCGACGCCTGCGGCGGAATCTATAGCAGGGCTGGCGGACAGCACAGCCGAAATCTGCAGAGGTAGAATTAAGAGGCTCAGTTGACAGAAATATAATTAAAAAAGAAAATTGATATCGATAGCAAAAGATAAAGTAGGTTCTCGTGACATGTGGAAAGACAGACTGTAAACGCTGAAGAAAATTTCCATGAAGTATGAATGTGAAAGTGGTGTAAAATCATGCGTGGAAACGAGAAAGAGAGACAGATGACTGATATTTAGTAGATAAGAGTCCTACATTCCTGGAAAACACTATCATCGTGAAGCCTGGGGTTAATGCATAAGGCATCTTAAAGTTACTCCTCTTGGTAAAAAAATTGATATCTGAAGTGTTAGAAAAAAGGACCTTACACTTGTCGTTAGGAAAAGGCTCTTTCGGCCATCAAGACAACACGTTTACAAACTCAAACATCACAACCATTGTCATTTTATATCATCAAAGCTTATATAAATATTATCAAGATGAACTGCCATCACCTTTGCCTTCTCTAGCTGTACTCCAATGTACACAACCTCTAATGAGATAATCATATAGGCGGCGTTCATACATTGCAAACTGACTGAAAAATACAAGGCTTGACAAGCCAAAGTTGGACCGTTCTTAGTGTCCTAGGACTTCTTATCGTTGGGACATTGCAACTCTTTCGTATGCTATACTGTTTTCTTCCTAGCAGGTCATTGAAGCTCACAATTAGGCGGCACAGTCATCGAATGTATCTATTCCTTTTTTGATACGAATAAATTGCCACTCCAAACTCAACCCCTTATCTCTCCACTTTGATCGAAACGCAAAATATTTTGAGCCGAAAAAATCTGCATGGCAAATAATAGAACGCGTTGGGGAACAGTTAAATAAGTTGAAAAAAAAAGTGTTTCCCAATTAAAATTGTACTGTCAATTTTAGTGGGAAATTGAAGGCAAGAAGAAATAAAGGTGCAGTACCTATCGAATATAGCTCACTTTTCAGCAGCTTCTCTGTCCATGGGCATTGCGGTTTGAAAAGGTTTTTATAAAAAAGAAAAAATGGTATGGCCAGCAATGAATTTTGGGCGATTTGACTGATAATTAATCTGCATGTTATTCGAAATCGCTTGATGTGTCCCAATAGATTTCATATATGGAAAACATTCGCCACTTCATTGCCCTTTCTTTCTTCGGCACAAAATATGACCAGAGCGAAACTTCTTTCAACGTATCTTATTGATTGCTGCTACAAGCTAAAACGGATTATGTTTATAGGTAAGATCAAGACTGCATGCATCTCCCGGTCTTACCAACAGCCGTAAGAAAGATCACGGAAGACGTATGTTCGGAGAGCAAGGTATGTACTGTATGTAGTGCAAGCTTACGTGAGTAAAATCACTAATTCAGTATTAAGGCGTTACCACACATGCGTGACCATATTTTAAGTGGAATGCATATTCTTATTTTTTTTTTTGCATGTAAATGAAGTTGCTGAATAACTTTGAGCTCAGCTGTACATAATAATCGTACATATCAGTAATGTACGGTACTGTTTTTATTCACGTCACTAATCGCATATTTCTACTCATACATATTATGCTCTTTTCTAAAATCTTTGTCTATTGTACAATGTATTGAAGCTATTTCTCTCAGTATCCTGTTACTGCGCAAAACATCATACAATTCATAGAAAAACGTAGCTACTAACAGGTCATTAAGGGTTAGGGTTCCTTGTAATAAATCTAGTACGCTCGCTACACGGATGAAAGGCTATTTTTACATCCGCCTTATCATCCACTGCCGATCTTCAAAATATTTCAGCACTTTCTTACAGGCCAAAGCTGATATATTGAAGATCGTCTGCATGATTTTCGAACTGTCCTTCTTAATTCATTAACTCCGATGTGTTCTTCGGATACCTACGTGATGCTGGTAGACCTATCTTGTGATGTTTTAATTTCATAAAAAAAAATTCTCAGTATATCGGGTTGAAAGGCTCGATAGAATTAGACTTCTTCTATAGTTCGACATCGCTCGATACTATGGAATAATATATTTCTTACTTATAAATTACTGTTGACGCGCATACGGCACAAATAAACATGTACTTTAATTTTGATGCTTAGGTGACAGAAATGCGGACGATGGATCAGTTTCGTAAAGCAGCTACAGCTGTTAAAGCAAACACTCCAATGTGGAAACGAAATACTGGCCAATAAAAATACGTATAACAATTTTGTTTAAGGTAAGTTAGCGAACAGTGCGTATGTATACATATAAGCTGAGTCAAAATGAAAGCTTCCTTTAATGGTTTATGTCTATGCTCAATGTATAAATTACTGATATCTAAAGCTTTCGATGTAAACAAATTTACCGGGAATTCATTTCAATGTTCAACTTCTTTACGCAGACTAGTAACGATGAATCCAGATTTTCAACTTTAAAACAGGGATAACATACAAGACAATGTAAACGAGATCCTAAAAGATAATCTGACATGGCCATCAACGAAATACACCATTATGTTTTTCCAATACTTCGTTTAATAAAGAGGTTTTCTAGATAGATAGATATAGATTGTTTTAAAGCAAGTGTTTTAAGGGTAGATAGTGAAAAATATTAGCCGCTTTTAAGTCAAAATTGAAGCTGGTATTTTTTTTTTTATCTTAAAATAGTATTGCTAAAGTAAATATACGCCGCCTTGATCGGTTACCCTTCGTCATTTTTCTGGTGACATCATAAATCCATCACTGAGAAACTTCAGTGGTTCTTAGACGAAGAGTTGTAATAAGTGATTTTTACATCTCACCATTGAAGCCGAATAACAACGTATGATAATTTATTTTTATTAACAAATTTGCGAAGTATAAGATTGAATCATCTGCAGAACTCCATTAACACTATTAAAGGAGTTCTACAGAGACCTTAAAAGATAATCATCCGATGGTGTAAGATTTGAGGTCCACCGTAAGTATGTTGGAACTTTGTATCCAAGTTTTCTCAATCCTTGCCAGGTACCTAAACCATTATCATGGTGGAAAACCATGCCTTTTCTGTTCACTAATTCCGGCCGGCTTTTTATGGCTCGTAATCTTGTTAATTTTTCATCATGGCGGGCATCATAAATCGTTTTGCTAGGCCGCAACGACCCATGATGTCCGCCAAACCGATAGCATTACATTTTTGGCGTCAGTTTGGGTTTTACCACAGATTGTGGAGCCCATTTTTTTCTATTTGCAGATTATTGTCGTATACGAGCAGTTTTCATCACTCTTAGTTAACCCCTTTAGAAACAACTTTAGTTCATTGCGTTTGAAGGTAGAAACGCAGTTAAATAAATTCTATTGCCCCTTTAAGCCATTTTTTCCAATAATGCATCTTGATCAATTTTTTCTCGTGGGCCTTCGCAGCATTTGTACCTATAAAACACTACAACTTTATGCAGAAAATTCACTCATTTTCATTTTTAAATTCGAATAAAAAGTGTTCTAAAAATTTTAGCATAACCTAATCCAATAGATCTCTTTATATAAAGCAAAAAACGTTCCCACAGTTTTCTCCCTAATTAACCTAACGTTTCTTTCCTTCTGGTACTTCTGATATTCATAATTGTTTTGAACAATGCTTTAGTGTTTTTGTGCCGAAAAGAGTTACTGTAGACTTCTCTTATAACTCTTTTGGTATTTCGTCAAAGAGCAAGAAAGTTTATCTATCTTATTGTTTATAATTTTTTATAATAAACATTTGTTTTTGATAACTCACTTTTTTTTTTATTTATTATTTTAATGATATATAACCATAATATAATGATTTCAACCGGATCTAAAAAAAAAGCCAAAAAAAGAGCATTTCAAAAATATTCTAAAATTTTGAAAAACTTGGGTATTTTGAAATTCGTTGAAAACCAATTGCAAATCTAATCGACAACATTATAGTGTTAGATTTTCAATATGCATTGTTGAATACTAAAAATATTACAAGGATAAACAAAGTCTCTTATCTGTTTGGCCAACACTACCTGTACGAAAAAAATCAAATAGTAGTTTCTGAATATATAAAAAAAATGAATAAAAATATATATATATATATATATATATATATATATATATATATATGAATAAATTTGAGAGCGAGTGATATCTGCAAAGGAATCTTTACAAGATACATGATCGACACGACCGGTTATTATACTCCGATAAATTAGTAACCAAATTTCTAAATAATGCATTTGTACACCCACATGAAAGTCTTTTTCTACAAAAAAAAAAGCCCGAGCGTTCCCGTAAATGTGATGAAAAATTAAAATATTTCGTCTATACCGAGTGGATGCTCCTATATTTGAAATTTCAATCGATAGAAATTTGGTTTAAGGTCCGAAAATCTATATGCAACATTGCTATGATCTAATGTGACTGAAGAAGACTTCAACTCAAAATTTTTTACTATTACTATAAAACGTAACTACAAATCCAAAGCAAGCTACCGATTGATTTGGAATAAACACAGGCTATGATAAAGCAAAGGAAGTCACCTATGGGCTAAGAGGTAAGACTGAGAATTTAAGGAGATTAAATAAATAAGAGTAGCCTTAAATCGATTGTGCTTAGCCAGTGAGCACATCCGGCTTACAGAGAAAAGAAGGACGAAAGGGTAAGCTTATATGTGGACATTAAGGCTAGCAATAATCCACAAGTGTATATCGACGACTATCGCCTATTTGAAATAACAGAAGTTTTCTGGAAGCTCGGAGCAGCGAAATTCTTCACGGAAGGCTTCTGAAAGGCTTAAATGCCGCATACGTGCATTAACCTGCGCAGGAACAATCTTCAAAATTATCTCATTATAGGCACTCATTAAGGTTTACTTAAACTTAAAAGGATGCATTTTAGATATTCGAGATCTGCCTTAAGCTGAAAGAAAACTACTGATAGTCCTTTCAATATTACAAGCTATTTCCAAAGGCCTTAGGGAACACAAAATCGGTACGGACAAATGCGAATTTATAGCAAAATCCGTCGAATTCAGAGGTTTCATATATTCCAGAACAGGTATTTCCCAATCCGCAGATAGAACATCAGCTGCCATTAAAGTACCGTCACTTAGAATAATACAATCCTATTCGTATTTTATATCAAAATCAGCTGTGGCAGCAGAATCGCTAAACAACCTTTTACAGACAAACCTGATGTCGATATGGGAAGAAAAATGCTTAAAAGCATCTAAAAAATTCAAGAAGTTCAAGAAGCATTCGACTAGTGTAAAACTTATATGAAACACCTGCAGAAGTAAAGCCCCAAAGTGTCTTTGTAACGTACATTTCGCTGACGCGGAGGAGGAATATTCAATTTAGTTGTAGTGGTAGATGCTACCTGCAAGTGAGAAAAAGTTTTCCCGCTGAGGATAACAACTAAGGAAACGACTCAGATCTTCAAGTTCTATTCATTAATAATAGCCCACTATTCACAAATGAATAATCCAATTTGTATTACATTCAGCCACATCCCACCAGAAGGAACACTATGGACTGTCAAAGAATATTTAAAGATAATGCTGGAGAAATACGGTACAGAATTTTGCAAGACCCTAGTTAAACTACTCATGGGAGTCCGTTCCCTTTCTACCAAAAAAATGTAAGTGGCCAGCTGAAATCCCTTTTGGAGGAAATACGTACTAAACTTCTGCTATTTATGAGACAAGTAAAGTTCTCAATAAAAATAGTTAAAAATATCAAACGATTCACCTGGAAAATAGGTGCTTTGGAACATTGCAGGGACCTGTAGGATAAAGAAATCTAATGATAGCGTTTAAAAACGCTCTGGTCAAAAGACACGTTAACCAGGCACGTGATAGGAGAGATTTAATAGATATCTCTAATAAAGAAAACGGGAATTTAACACTAATTCCTACATATAGCTAGCCAACTAACTGACCGCGATATGTTGATTCAGAAAGCAGTCAGAGAGTGAATTCGTAAGTCTGAGACGTGGATCCCGGAAGTAGATTTCAGCGACCTACAAGAGCAGCCAGACGCCCAATCAGATTATTTCCCATATCTAAACGCATAAGCCCAAACGAAAAATCCGGATGAGAGATAGGCTCAGGAGAGTGTTGGACATTGAAAATACTGTAACTAAAGTCTCCCATATAATCTGTCAGCACTGACTGATTGCGACAAGCCCAAAAAACAAAGATTAGTCACTAGGTAGATAGAAACTAAAACGAATTAATTGCTTCTTGGTTAACTGTAACGAAAGCTATTATATGCAGTCACAGTGGAAATCGAGCTTGGAATATCTTTAAAAATTGCGGTCAGAAATACCGAAAAACCATCAAGTAATTTAACCAGTCTACGAGTTATTTTGAAGAATTAATTTTAAAGAAAAAGTGCAAGTGCATTTCTTTTTAAAATTGTCGACTGGAACTGGTTTCCAACCCCCCAGCCACAGAGCAAAGGTTTGTGTTGAGATCTTGGAAACGACAAACGCAAGATGGAACCCTATCTCAGTAATTCTCACATCAATAACTACCATATATCAAATTTTTTTTTACACTACGCTCTTTTTTCATCTTTCTCTAGAAATGTGAAGAAAAGCAATTCTATAAATATGTATGTATGTATATATATAACGCCACTAAAGCACGCTGTGTGTATGATTATCTCTTGAGTTTTAGAAAACCTCACTCCGAGTTTAAATATAACAGAACCAAATTTTAGCTTAATGCAATCGCAGACTCATTAATTTCGAAAGTTGATTTGTCGGGATTCACCTGGCAAAGGCAAAAATTAGAAAAATTTCTCTCGAATTCTCCCCTTGATTTGAGCGAAGAAGAAGTGCGTTAAAATACATACACTCACATCCATACAATAGAATTTCTGACTTTTTAGCATTTTGTACGGCATCGGCAAGAGACAATTGGAGAGAGGATAACTGCCAACATCACAACCTACTGAAACCAAGTAGAGGATCTTAGATCGGGTATCTCTCCTATCAGGACCTATTAAAGAAACATCCATAAAATACGCCAATAAAGAAAGACATTATAGATAAGAACTAGCTCAAAAAAATACGAAATATTTGAAAGAGGTGTTATTTTACAAATTAGCACACGTAACAGAAGAAAGAAATACTCACAGATATATGTAGCAGGAATATGCTGAGCGTTATCAATTACTCGATACCTTTAAGCGTATGCTAAAACAGTACACGTTTACATCACTACGTATTACTAATTAAAATCGTTTACGTCAAAATTATAATATTCGTACAAATCCACATATCCATCTTCCAGTGCCGCTTATTTTATGAGAGCTAGTCTACTACTGGTTGTCATTCTCACCAACATGCCTTACCTTCAATTATCAGACTGGTTACCCCAGTCAATATATGTACGTGTATTACCTTGATTATGGATAACGTCTTCTAACGAGTTCTATCACTCTGAATGCGTTTCTGCCTTAAACAATATTTCTTTTTTCGTAGCCGCTCATTATTTCCTACAGCAAGTGAAATATTCAGAAAGGAGCAGAGACGCCAGAAAAGAGAGAGTTTACCAGATATAATTTTTATAATCTTTATGGAGTTACCGTACTCCATGTAAGCCAATGCTTTCAAATCTCTCACTAATTGCATGATCTAGTAAATATATTGTCAAGACGGGTATTTACTCTGGAACTTCTTTGCATACTACGTATTACCAAATAATTCACTCAGGCCAACCTACCTAAAATGTTGAGTAGCTAACAACGACAGTTTATCTAGGCGGTAGCAAGGCAATCAGGAGAAAAAAGATACTTGGGTGATGTTTGAAGGGATTTAAATAAGAGAAATGCGACTTGTTTTAACTTAATTTATTTTATTGTTTTGTTTATCAAATATGTTATAAGATAATGCAAATAAGTATTTAACTAAAATCATCCAATCCACTGTGGGTTTACTAGCTTAATTACGCAGCAGTAATACTACAGATGGCTCTTTTCGACTTTCTGAAATCATATATTAAAAAGCAACAATTGTCGTCTCTTTGTGCATGAATTGACCAATAATTGTAGTAACATCAGTGTATTAAATAAATAGAAAAGTAAATTCAAATAAATAAATAAAGTATTCTTAATTTCTTCAATGGCTTGCATTTGAAATTCGCGCCCTTCTGCCGTGTGGCCAAGAAAGACAACGTAGATAGTGATACTTTTGGCAGAAGTCCACGTAGGCTATCATGAGGCACTCTTTCTCAACAGCCTCTCATGAAGGACTCAGAAAATTTGGGAAACAAAATTGAAGAAGTTCTATGAATTTCTTACTATATGGCTATTGCTAATACGGCATAACGATAACAATTCTAATGAACTGATTTCAAAAACAAATTTAAAGTAATTGCTGTATTTATAAGAGTTAACCTAAGTTTAGGAGTCTTTAAAATGTCTATCTTTGTTCGAGTTGCAGTACTTGTAACATAAAATGTAGACAAACAGATTCTTTTATTGGGCAGAGTACTGAGAAACATGCTTCACACGTTCATGACTTCATATTTGGACAAGAAGGAGGAGCATGTATGCATATATAATTATTTGAAATGGGTTTAACAGATCCGTAACAACTTGCAATTCCTGGCTATTGGTTTGTGCTAATATGGGCAGTTATCAAGAAAATCGTTAATAATCGGTGCTATTTTTTGCGGGTCGGTCATATGGATATGATGAAGACCTTCAACCTCATTGTACTGGTAGTGCAAACAGTTCTTCCGATAAATTGCCTGTATTCTGTGATAAGCCTGCCGAGGAAACCGCATTGGTAGGCACCTGTAATTGCAATGATCTGAGGTTACCTGACAGTTTTTGATTGTTTAATTTTCAACAGCTACTTCGGGCCACGGTTAATCTAAATCGAATGAAGATTTAAAAACTATATGCCCATTTATGGCATACGCTCCATGTGTCCACTCCATTCAATAAGAGCATAAATTACAGAAGAATATCTTTTGTATTTACGCTTAATTATATAACATTAGTATTAGCAAGAAAACCTTTTTCCCTCGTAATTTACGGTATAAATACTTCACGTTTACATTGATATCAAGTATTTTTTGTTATTTATCGATTTAGTCGCTTAACGGACGGGAGTGGCCTGGTGTCACTTGGAATATATCTTATGATGACCTTATCCAGACTTATGGTGAGTGATAGACGGAGGCATGCCTACTAGATGTGTTAGCGAGAAGAGGTGCTACAGATTTGGTCGTGCAATGATTAGAACGACTGATGACAGCGGTACGCATTGAGGAGATCCTGAAAGTTATCATCGTTTTTCTAGATATCTTCAAAGTGAACACATGGTAACTGTAGCGTCCTATATATTGGACTGAGATTGTTAGTAAGCACGCTATAAGCATCCCGCCACCAGTGGCAAGCCACATCTACATGTCTGCGGCTATACCCAAGAAGTGTAAATATAACTGCACTCCATTAATTAAGATGATTTACCTTTAAACTGTGGCTTTTACGAACCTAAAGGGAGCTCTAATGTTTTTTGTCCAATTTTAATTATTTACTTACTTAAGATGCACGAACTTTCCTGAAGCAATATTAAGGTTTTTAATGTTCTGAAAATAGTATTTCAATTTCTAATGACTATTGTTGTGTACCTTCTAATTTCCTCACATTCCTTGTGCTGTAATTGGCTAATTATCCTATTTTATTCTACTATTTAAATCTAGTTATGTTTCTTATACATAGATATATACACACATATATATGCCGGGTATTTCCAAAATGTGTCAAAAAAGTTTTTATGATCTTCGCGTTTCTAAGTTTGACTTGACGAGAAGACATCACGCGGATAACGATAGATTCAGAAAAATTGCAAGTACACAAATAATGCAAAAATCCTCGTAAACTTTGATATAAAATGATTTTAATAAATAAATATAAATTCTTTCGTTTTTGCGCAGATCAAGTGGTAAGACCCAAATGGTCCCGACATTATAAGATGTGGTGACAGTGTAGTGTTATTCTGGGTCAAAGTGTTGCATTTTCTAAAGCATCGGAAAGTGTCCAATTCCAATACGAAAAAGAAAATAACAAGTAAATAATATTTAACGGAGCTGCTTTGTCCTTATCGTCGTTAAACGCACATGTGCATACATTTCTGCAAAGAACTTCGCGAAAGAAATCACGATCTATTCTTACTTGCAACTTAGTTGATGCAACAAATGATAGGTAACAACAGACCTCCCACGATGTACGCATATAGCCGTAAGCTGGATTGAGTGAACTTTGGTATGGTACACTCGATTCAGCTATCGACTCTATGCGTATAATACATTCAAATGAAAATGCGTATCAACGCACAAAAGTACTTCTGTCTTAATAACAGGGCGATATCTATCCACCCATAGCTGTACAGGTACGTGGCGGAGGTGAGACTACTAATAAAGAGTAAAAGATAAAAAAAACAGAGGGATCACTGCCTGCAGCTTTGTAAAAGGTGCTAAAACAGCCTGATGTGTGTGCTTGGTAAAAGCAATGTTTAAACATTCTGCCGACATAATATACAGGCCCAGTATTAGAAATTATCCAGGATCCCTTTTAAAAGCGATGCGCTGATTCACTTGGCTGCCACGCGATGTTTTATTTATTGAGATTTTTTAGGGCTAGTGCCCTTGACACATAGTTACCAAAGGAAAGAGCACAAAACTAGTATCAATTATTTTTAAGGTCGAAAAAATGTAGTTCAGTGGTAAACTTAAGACACTGTAACGTAGTGTGCACAAACTACGTAGGATTCATTATGAAGTCAACACCGGAAGCAAGCTAAGAAAGGTAAGATAATTTGTAGATTTTTAAGAAGAAAATGTTACTAAAATCGTATACAGGGAACGAATGGAAGCATTCGGTTTCGGTTGCATTTAGTACTAGAATTCAACCACTTCAGGCTGATGATAGGGCTGATGCCATATTTTTAGAAGGGTTAGTCCTTGTCAGACATAAAGCTAGAAATGTTTAACGGTTAGTCTTAGCATTAGTAAAGAGTAATAAACCAGGGACCTTTTCTTGCGCAAATTAACAAAAATGATACTACTATATATTGTAAATCTAAAACAATAATAATATATTATTATTATTCAGCTAAATAGAATAAATAGGAGAAAAACAGGGTGCCACCTAATACGTCCTCAAGACATTCATAAGCAGAAGGAGTGTCGTTACTGAGAGCATTCGTTTAGAAATAGAGGACGGTAGGAACTTTGCCATATGCGAACTAATGCTAGGAGATCAGGCTTTGATCTTCAGCTTTCGGGTCGATATTATTGCAAATCAGGACGCTTGCCGTTTGGGTTTATTTGTTTACAACTTTCAGGTATTGGGCGATCTATGTCGAACAATGCACTCGCCCATGTTGTTTTGTTGATGTTGGTTTGTGGTTTACCCAGGCTCAATGCACAACGATATGAACAAAACTGCTACTACAAACTAGGAGTTTTATTTGGGTTCAGGTCCTTAGTTGTCTGAACACGGCAATTTCAGGCAGAGTCTCATTTACATATTGCCTACTATGAAGCTGTAGAATTCCCGCAAAATTCTTTGTTTTTTAAATATTTGACGATCCTATTATACATATGAAACCTTTGACTATTTGCTTGTGCTTTGAAACGGTGTCTTTGTCACACGAGCTAATCTGAATAGTAGTTGATCGAGAAGACTAGCGTTAATGTGCTTATAAAGATTTCTAATGTACTTCCCAAAGAAACTCGTTCTGATGAATTTTAAGGTACGAAATATATGGTAACATATATATGATAAGAATGCTTATTTAAGGTGCGATCATCTTTAATAAAAATGGAAATTTCTGAAAAGTCTTAGTGATTTTGTAATATAAAATTTAAAGGAGCCGTTGCTATCTTTAGATACAGAGTTTCCTAACTTACTTCAATGTTACTTCAATTTTCCACAAATTAAAATAGCTATGGTTTAGTATATAATGTGCAAGCAAACACTCTCTAAGTTGTACACAATCAGCAACATACTCAACCGATATCCCTATTTTTGCTATATCATCTCTGTTAGTTATTAATCGATTGCTGCAGAATATCGTTTGATCCAGCATAATACTGTACAGTAAAATAAAGCTGTATTTTACTATTTAAAGCATAAATTCGACGGTGAGAAGTTTCGACCAAAATATTATATTTTAAACTTGTATTATTTATTTTATATGTGTTATTTATTATGTAAGTAAAAGCTTCGGATAAAAAGATATAGCACCAATAACAAGTTTTTATTCTATTGCTTTTTCTATTATTTTTGCGAGCTTTTGTGCCATTTTCCTTATTGAGTTTTAACTATTATGAGATAAGCCTTTCTTAGCGACTTGCACGACAGCCATTGAGGATATCTTAAAGATCGATACTGTAAGGTTGTTTGTTTTTTGGGAAGTGATTAAAGCGGAAAAACGGAATAAATGAAACAAACTATAGAGATTTAAATAAGCTTCAAATGAGGGGCCCGAAACTGCAGAAGAATACAAGGTGGAATCAGGTAAGGTCCTAGATTAACACGGCGTCCTCGGCCAAAGGTTTACTTTTATGTGCAAATAGAATAAAATTTGTTTAGGTTTACACTGGCAATTCCAAAGTCGAGTTCAGTTGTCTCTTCAGGTTGCGGAATACATGCAGTGCGTTAACGAGATCATTTAGTAGTGAAGGTCTGCAACTGAGTGATTATCTATGTTAGACTAAGTGTAATTATTTGTCTGAACAAATGAATGTTAGAACAGGCTAATGAAAAAAAAAAGGCAGAAGGCTAACGGGTTAAGTAGCATAGGGTAATTGCAATAAAAATTACTATTGTTGTATATTACAGTTTATATAGGCCGGATATGGTATGAAGGAGTTTAATTAGTTTAGTAAATAGTAAAACAGGCTCAGAGTGCAGACAGCGGGCAAGATTAGCATTATTTGTTCGTTTTTTTTTGAAAACACTAATATCTTATCTATTCCTAAATTTATTATAAATGTTTTTTAGTGTATTCGGCTACCTTTCTCCTCGGGGTTACCTCTTTGGCATAGCATTATGGACTGCCTTACTAAAAGTCTAACCAGAATGAACCTTGCCGGATTTAGCTTAGGTGTCTCTAATAGGTAAAAATTCAAGCAACGATGACAGCATGTTCATTGTTATCATGGACACGCACTCAGAGAAGTATATTAGCTAATCAGGCCGTTCTTCCCGTTCCATTATTTGCTTAATGGTATTATAAGCGATCGAAAACACAACACCGGCGTGATACAAAAACGTATTTTTCGTATAAAACGAACTTAATGTAATAATTTAATGTAATAGTTTCCGCACGCTTCTTTCATACCTCTTTATAATAGCTACGTTGGAACTTAACGCCTACCTTATAGCAAGTAGTGCGTTCTTATATCTGGCAGCCAATTCCTCGGCAGTGGTCACATCAAATGAATTCCAGAACATATATTTAATACGACGATCTCGATTGATTGCAAACTGATCAGGCCCCACTTGAGTACAGCCTCTTCGCATTAGAATTTCCACCGCTTCCTTTGTATACGCGTCTTTAGTCGTTGCCATATGCTTTTGGATAATTTCCTGAGTCGAATAAACGAAAGGCTTTTTGCCAAAATATTCCCTGTAATAGAGGTAATTTAATAACAAATAAATAACAAACAAAACCCGTCATTTATTTAATATACCTTTACATACCATAGTAAAGAGTATGTATCACAACAACATTAAAAAAATAAATTATACGATATTTAAAACCTTGCATTTAGTGAATTTACTATATTTAACTATTTAATACATATCAATATATATATACACATTAATAAAACTCTATTCTGTTTGTTTGTTTGTCTGTCTGCTTGTTTGCTCAACCAAAATGGATCCCCTAGATTTGCTGGATCGCTAGTTTCATCATGGAAGGGCTGCAAGTAAGATGGGGCTAATTGGATGAATCCTTCTTCCTAGAGGGTGGACTTTTCTCTGACAGACAGCCAGACCGTATTGCAAATTTGGGAAAAACTGCCATTGGCAACGATTTTCTCCACAACAGTTGGGATTTAAAGGTTGATATTGAGAAGTTGTTTTTTTTTTCAGTATTTAGTTACTGAAACATTCGTTCCAGTAGGGCAACCAATTAGCTGAATAGAAATATAGGACATAACTCCTTAAAGATAAGAGGATTACTGACACAAAGCAAGAAACTGAGTAAATCAAAGAGATTTGATCGCTGTAACCAAATAGTCGCAATAAGACAACACAATTAATACAATAGGCTTTTTTCAGCTTGAGTACGATACGAATTAAATGTGATAATGATAATAACTCTGATGTTATAATAGCAGAAGGATTTTTCGAACAATTCAATTCTACTAAAATATTGGTGAATCGAAGATTTGACGTAACGAAATAGCTACAACGAAGCCACGGAGGTGGTGCTGCAGGATCTCATAAGAATTGCAACTGAAAAAGTGTCAAGATTTATGTCTGCAGTCAAATTTTATTATTGAATAGGCTAAGTGTGGTGCGGAAAAAACTGCTCATTTAGGATGAACGGATTCGTAATATTTAAAGAATAACGGATTAGGTTGGACAGGGTCGACCTATCGTTAAAACTTTGCAACGGTAAAAAATGCGAAATGAAGTCCGCGATCCATTTAATACCTTCCTAAAGTTGGGATTATTGTATGAATCAAATGAATTCGGATTGTAGAAGAACTCATTGTCAAAATACCTCAAATTATTTTCTATTGAATTTTATTTAATTAAATAGTTAACTAGTAAGGATTTAAACTAGCAAGGATAACTAAAGATAATAAAGATATTAAATAGTTTAGTATATGTTTACTATAATTTATACTAAAATAATACATCGTCTGTTTCCCTGCGGCCAAAAGCTTCGAATGTTCTTATTGCGGAGGCCATGTGACCCTAACTTAAATAATACTAGGTTTACTAGGTTCAGGGCTACTGTATCAGCCATAGTAACATTCCAAGATTTTTACCCTTATGGTTCCAAATCTTCCAAATCTTTTACCGAACAAATCGTCCCCGCCTGGTAAGGTTTGGTTAACTGAATTATGTAAATCTAAACCTAGGCCATCAAATGCCATCATTAGATTCTATTCGATCGATTAGGACACGAGACGTACCCATCGCCTTCTCACAGAAAGAAAACAGGTCGAAGAAAAAGGATCAGGCAAACAGATTATTCATACAGTTTGCTTGTCTGATCACAAGAACTTTACTTCTGGGGCCTTACATAATGAATTATATTTACTTATCCTCTGCATATAGCTGGAGCCTCTTCCTACTTGTGCAATGGGCTCATGGCATTATTGGGATCATCCTGAATTTTGCTCATTTAATTGGCTTTTTGTAATACCTTGTGCGGTAGAAGGTTAACTGCGTATGTTCTATTTGCGTATTGGAACTGTTTATCTTAGAGTTTAGAGTTTGGTTGCAGGAATGGGTTACGCGCTAGGTAAGTCTATCCCATGCTTTTTTAGTTACCACGTTACCTACGATTTAATTCGGTCGATTCTGGTATTGGTCGATATTTGGTAAAATTTTTATTTGTAAATCGAAACAGACACAATCAAAAATTTTCCTGTCGTTTATCGTAAGAGTTTTATGTCTCCGCTACTGCATAACCGCTGAATATTCTGGTCGGTACGCGAATTGCTTTTTATAGATTATACCCTGGCTGTTTATTTTGCTGTAGAGGACATAGGGATTATAATTTGCGAGAGTTCACACACAACCCAAGTGACAGGAATCAAAAGAAAACAGACGTTTTTCGCGACTAGAGGCAATTTTTTATATAGATCAGCTTAACTATGGCATCCTGAAATAGGCTAACGACTACCGTCCTCAAGCTAGCGTCGAAAAATCAGAAAGAAAGAAGAAATTTATAGATAACACGTTCGCCTTCCTTAAAACCAAAAGCAGAATCTTTTTCTAAAGTTTAACTCCTCTTGTTTGCCAGTTTTCGCAAGTACAATGAATGGCGAGGCGTCAATATTGTTAACCATGTCCAACTCATTTAATACATCGACGAAGAGTGGAGTACAAGGCAGCTTCTTGCGAAGTCTGCCTTTATCACTACGTTTTGTTCCAAGATGTCGGGTCAGACGTTCGATGTGAGCATCTATCTTCCCCCCATCATCGTTGGATTTTGTCATGGATATGCGGAATTTAGAGCTCTCGTAGATATGTAACTTACTAAAATGTTCAAATACGGTACAGCGCAGCAGTATTCGCACATTTTCTTCACATCGCGCCAAATCGAGAAGAAAATATTCTAGTCGGTAGTAAGTCAATTAAGGGTCATGGCATCGTATCTGCTTCTCTTTAAATCCAGGAACAACAATGATAGATGTTGAAGTTCAAAGCTGCATAACTTTGTGAATATGACCACTACACAGGCAATGGTAAGCAAATTGTCACATTATCTATCCAGTGATCGTCCGCAAAAACAACGTCAAGGACATTACGATCTTTCGTTGAATTATTGGAAAAGAGCGTGAGAAACATTCCCTTTGTGGACGGCCTAATGTTGTTGGAATCATTGTTATTGCTCTGAGAAAGGTAGGTTTGATGATTTCAGTTTACTTTGCGTGGACAAGGTATTGTCCCCGTAATGGTACAATTTTAACTTGTGTACCTACTAAACTGAGGGGCATCTGGCAGTTTGGGTTTGAAGCCAGACGTGAGTGCACTTCATCCCGCGCTAAGAGCCAGCCGCCTAAGAAAAGGCAGTACCGGAGATACAACCCGGAACTGTTTATTAATTACTTCATCTTGGTTGAAACCTCTAGCAGGAGTCAACTCAGTCAATCAGTAACAAACTTTGTTTTAGACTTTGTATTAAGCCTGCTCGATTGAAGAAAGAACAGATTACTTTCACGTGCTTTTCATGCAGTACTAAGTCGATATTATTTTTGGGCATTGAAGACATGCGATCTTCTAATTGATTAATTTAGATTGAAATTAGGATTCTTCCGTCGATTTGACCACTGCGAGCTTCGCCGAAAATTGCAATTTACCGTTTTTCTATAATTCAGCAGATAACATGTCATCGTTTAACACGACCTAGTTCATAATAACATTCTACTTGCGTAAGCGAAAACGGTAACACAATTAATGGCATCCAGTTTTATTAGTGGACAGACTCTTAATAAGAACTATTTCAGTTAGATTTATCGTTGCTCTGTGTAAACCCTTTGCCCGCAAAGGAATCATTTTACCTTGCTGCGGTCGACTTATATTGAAATGAAATTTCACTAGTAATCAAAAGCTTCACATAAGCTTCTTAAATACAGATAAACGACACAATGTCGAAATGTTAGAGAGGGTGTATAGAACAACTTAAAACAGTTTGCGTTATATGAATTACATGAGCCTTGTTTAATTTACAAAACCAGTTTGAGAGATTTGCCAGATATCCTAGGGATCGTATCAGAGTGCACCGAGCGGCATGGTATCTTTCACAATTTTTCCCACATCTGAAACATCTACACATATCGTCGGGCTCGTGGAAACCCAGTTCCTCGTAGAGTATCTGGTGGAGTTCACGCACGACACAGCGAGTTGTTCATAACCAGTCAGATGACTGTACTCACATTTCGTCATTCTCGAGTATTTAATCCCAGTTGCCGTTCGTGTACATTATGCGATTTAATCATGTCAATTATAATGGCGTGTGCACCGCCTAAGGAGTTGTGTCAGGGCAGATTCACGGGTTCAAAGGCCCGATATATGCAGAGAATATTCGCTCAGTGCTCTGGCGGGGCAATGTGGTTTTAACGATTTGACACACTTAGAAAACGACGTTTTTTTGCTAAAGTTTCCGCATCTTCACGGTTATCGTTTTCACTCAACTCAACTTGTTTTGTCTGCTACTAAACTAAAAATTGAACGTTCGTTATTGCGATTGGCTACCCGTTTTAATCTTTATAGCAGCTGCATCATCGTAGCTAAACTTCTGTGTGATTTGCAGTTACCACGCGACTATCAATGTTTTCGCAACTTCATCGATCTTCTTTCTCAAGCGTTCGTTGCGCATGGTCAGCTGTTCGTGTTTTTATTGTCCACCACTGATTTCAGTTTCTATGCCTAGCGAGCTAGTGATTTCACAAAAAGTAGCAACATCATTATGCCCATCATTTTTTCGATGGCATCCTTTAGCAGTAAAAAATCGCACGTTAAGCGCTAAAAACGATTTCTTTCTTGTTTCAAACGATATATGTTTCGTGCATTTCGTACGACAAATACATTTGCATGCTGCACTACCTGTACTAAATGCATGAAAAATTTCTTATTACCTGATCACGGTTTTGGCATTCTGGAATTCGCGACCTGTTCTCCATTTTTCAGGCCGATTTGGGAAAACTTCTTAATGCCGCTATTGCTTTGGTTATTCATCACTGCTGATATATTATACCTTATACAGCGCAGGTTTGCAATACATTGCGTCAGAGTGAAGCAAGCTCGCTTATACCACGCAGGAGAAAATCAATTCTTTCTGAATTTTCCGTTGCTACTTTCACAAAGTTCTCTTCCAAAGTGTCATTTGAATAAAGATAACATTTTGAGTGCATCAAGGTGACTCCTTCCATGCACCTTATCGGAGGCCTGCTCCGTGTAAACAAAACTTAGGTAAACCTCTCTAAACTGCGAACGGCTTTCCTAACCCATATAAAGTTTATTGGTCATAATTGCAGTTATACCCGCGAGTTTTCCTAAAGCTTAAAATCGAACATCACCAGGTCATAATTTTTAGTTTAAAAACGTTGCTTAATCTAGTAGCTGCTCTTTAGATTCTATGACCAGTTAGCCGCTACAGCAGCCTGACAGAGAAGTATCAACACAAATAATGAGTGGTTGTAATAATATAAATGCTTAATAATTAATGCAGAACGAACTTCTCGATGCGAATAAGGTTGAGCGTAGAGAATACGGTCCCCATAACGAATTTGTCAGTTGTCATCGTTACCGGGAGGGGCACATCGATCGTTATTAGTGTTCGAAGTCGTTCAGGGAAAAGCATCGAGTACATATGACCGATACCTCCACCCATTGAATGTCCTGAAGAAGAAAAATCAGAGCGGAAAAACAGATGTTCCATTTCACTACTCAGGTGTTCTATAAAAAAAAATATTTAAATCTTTAGAAAAACAAAATTAAAGGTACACAAAAACACGCCAGGTTTTTTTAAATTCCATTCACTGAAATTTAGTAGGTGGTGACTGTTTCATTCTTTTTTGTTAGAAACTGCTGTTGAGCTGGTTTTGACTCGGTTTACTCGGGTAATTTTATTGGTGTATATTATGACACATGTTATTGATACGAACAATAAAGGTACGAGTGATAATTGCAAGTTGTTCGTATCAAACAACACTGGATGGTCATCCGGCCTATGTTTAAGTAGAAATGATATAATATTCGCTACGCGGGCTTTTACAGATCTTTACAATACAACGGCAAACGACTTAATGAACATCGGATAAAGAGTAAGCCTTTTACAAATATTGGCATTTCACTCTTTAAGGGTCTAGATTCTCGCAAATATCGCCATAAAATGCAATGGCAAGTAATCATTTAGCCAGTTATTCTCACTTCTTCACAATAATTTTTTAATATTATAACGCTCCGCTAGGATGCTCAATGATTGTATGCAAATTTTTGTTCAGAATTGCCACTTTCGTTATTGCAACTCTCATTTTGCAGCATATGGTCATCTATAATTATAATTGCTGTTATATTCGTTTTCATGCCTTTGACGACTATTTGACAAAGTTAATAAGTGGTTGATAGTAGTGATATATTTCTTTAAGAAAAACGTTGCCTTGAATAACCTGTTCTCCGAATCCTTTTTTTAATTTAAAACCCTTAGTGCCAATAATTGCAGCCCAAAAGACATGAATACATAATTTGCATTGGATATCTGTACATTTGGCATTTGTCTATTCCACTTTGATAAATTGTGTTACCTTTCAATGCAGCTGATGGGACCCAAGAGCATGTGTGTCTGATGTAGTTACGTCTCACACAAATTACTGTTAACTTGTCGGCCACTATCAGTGAATTCATCGCAATATTATTTGCCGTTTCTTTGGAGAGTGCTGGGCTAGAACGTAACTCGAAAATTTGCCTGTTTAAATCTGCAGCCTTAGACAGTGCATCCAGCTCAGCTGTTGCTATTTAAGCTGATCCATAATAATGTCATATGGACACGGTTTTTTTTATACATAATGTAGTTTTTTTTGGGAGATCAGTTACTGCGCGAAAGTGCTCGTTGGTCGGAGGGATTTCGATGGAAGAGAAGAACGTCTATATATATATATATATTTATTTAAATTCTATCTTCAGTGGGCAGCATTCTTCGTAACTTATTATTAAATATAATAAGCGGCACAGTGCAAAGTACCTTCAAGAAATAGGTATGTACAAACGTACAACTTTCTTATATATTTTTCGCTGGCTAACAGTGCAATGCATTTTTAAAACCGGTTTTACATCTTACTTTCTGTGCTCCTTCATAGCTCAATGCCGCCACGACTCTTAGTTACACTAACATAACATTTGTTCTTAAAGCATTGTCAAAACAAATATACCATGAGTACCGTTATGATTTTATGTGAATAATTCGCCTACAAGTATGCTTCGCTGTTGATTCTCAGAGACGTGCTGCATGTATACTTCAAACACATTTTTGGGTATACAATTAGCATTGCAATCCAAACTTTACTGTACCAAAAGCCCAGTCGTACCTTATCATTAAAATGGAAGACGCCAGCTCTGCAGCCGAAATGTGTTTACTCAAAACAGAAGATTATTTTAAAACGACAACGCTCTGGTTAAACTAAGCGGAGGTTTCTTGGCTCTTGAAATTAATTTATCTCGAATACTTTGACGTAGAATTACAAACAGTTTGATTTAGTGAAGTACAAAAGAAGGTTTTCTACTTACCAATAATAGCGAAGTGTTCCCAACCAAAGTAGTTTGCAGTACGTTCCACATCCATAATGAAGTTATTTGGCGAGTAATAAAGCCCTGGCGCAAGATGAGACGAATACCCATGACCAACAAAATCTAGCGCAATGATCCTTGTTTTAACAGCCAGCAAGAAAATATAGTAAACTTTAGTTATTTAAGTAGGTAAGCACTTATATTATTGTTAAGGTGATCCTTTATAAGTGACCTCAAAATAAATTATTTGCTTATATGTTGTTTAATAAGTTGTTTCATATTTCTAACAATCGTTGTTGAGGATTTAGGAAAAGTTGCATAGTAGTGATCCTGTTTTCCTCACACCTGCACAGTCAAAATTTAACATTCAAATAAAAAAAAATATTTCATAAAAAAAAGAGCTAAGTTCGTTAACAAAAAGTACGTGACCCTTCATTTGATACGTCCGAAATGTTATAGTTACATCCGAGTGTATCGGCGCTGACAAGAAATTGAGATAAATCGTACTGCGATCACTATATAGGTCTGACGCTAAAATGTCGATAACACAAAGTACTATATTTATGTTTAATAATTGATTTATGTCTGAACGCCAGTTCAGAACCAGGCTATGGTCACTAAACAGTGCTTCTACCTCATCGAAGTCAGCTATTTCTAAATTTTAGATAACTTTAGTTTTTCCTGGATTCAGCACAATCTCTAAGCTAAAACTGTCAATCTAATTGAATAAGGTGGGTAACTACACCGGAAGATAAATTTTCATGTGTTCTGATAGATTTGGCTTTAATAGAATAACACAAATTCACATGCTGACGTGGCATATAATTCGAAGCACTTCATATATACTGTACGGAAAAAAGTTATCTCTCTATCTATACACCTGAATTTAGGTTTCAACAGAGGGATCAGTAGATCGAAGGTGTTGGCATTGTCTTGCCATCCATGAAGAGCGAGAATAGGTGCACCATCTATTGGTCCCCAGGACTTGGCAGCCAGTGAACCACATGGTGTAGGTATACGAATTTCCTGACACCTGCGATAACAGCATTACGGAAAGTTGCTCTACTTTTAATTGTGATGCAAATGTACCTCTTTTATCATTTTATACAGAGATTACTAGCGAGCGTTCACTAAATATTTATAGCTAACGAAAACGTGGCGAGTTGTATTTTTATTTAGTACATACACTGTGTTTTAGTAGAGAACAGTCTTAAGACTCATGCTTATACTGGCTGGAATGCTTTCGGAACGCGCTTATACCAAACAAATACAAATATTATCCAAATAAGTAGTTGTAAAGGTAGATTACACGAATAAACGCATTAGCTGTACGTGCGTATTTAAATGCTCCTATTTTAAGAGACGCAGGACAGATTTCGATTACTTTGCTTATTCTTTGAAACATCCCTAATATTCAAGCTGAATACTGTAAAAGATAATTAAGATAATCAACCTGATTACTACAACAGGCACTCACGTCCATTTGTCCTTATATGAAGTGACTGTTCTGGTTCCATGCGGCTTGTTAATCAAGACTTGTAGTGTTTTCACTCCTGAAGCGGCCCTCCCACTAAATGGGCCTCCCAACGGCCTCGCAATGCGAAGCACCCTTTTGGCAAGCTTACCGCCACTCCCTGTATTCATTTCTATAGAGCCCTGTTATAAACGCTGAGCGGGTTCAACCCAGAAACAAAAACGGGTATATTAAAAAATTTATGTAAACGAATGTAGATTAGAACTGTTTATTTATTTATCTAGCTGAAAATCATCTCACTGAAAAAAAGCGTACATTTGCGCACATCTGTTTCATTAGGAATCTTGCCTACAAACTAAAAGCATAACCAATTATAGTCCTAGAAGTTTCCAGCTCTAAAGGATTTCCTTGATTAAATGAAGGATAGATTTAAAGGAGACGTTTCTTCAGTGGTAAACGACGAATTAATGCTAACTAATGCTAATTAACGAGCTAATATCAAGCTCACTTCTTTATAAATTTGCATTTCCTTGAAATAACCTTGGTCATTTCTCTACCTATATATTCGGTTATGCATGAGCTAGAGATAGGGTTACGCACACTTTAACCAACCACTGGCCTAAGATTCTCCCTAACTGATACGAAAATTTTCAGTAAAATATACATATTTGCAATGTTTTTCGTAATTACTAAATGTAGCCATTCTCGATAAGGCGGAGATAGCGAGCGATAATTGAACTTTATAGCCTAAGAAAAACATTATGCAGACAAAAATCACTCTTCTCTGTGCTAGTTTTACGTCGACTTCGTATAATTAGTAGTTATTGAATACATTTCTTATAATACATTGTTTATATCTAGAGAGGACACTGTTACTAGCACATTTGAGTTTTTGCAAAAAGGCAGGCCACTACTTTTCAAACTCTTATACATACGTGCTTTAATAAAAACATAACAGGCGACAAATACATGCTTATGCACTAAAAATGTATAAGCTGCAAATTCCTCTGGTGTTTAGTGAATACAATATTATACTCTCCAAAGTAGCAGGACTCTGAAAAGTAATTGAATAAAATACATATAGCTCGCTGCGGAAGGGGCTAGATGAGCGTTATTATAAAATACATTGATTATCTGAAAATGTTTCTGGTCAAACCAGAAGTCGTTATAATTAAACTAGAATTTATGTATTTCTGCCCTTTTGACATTCGTAGGCATTATCCAAACTAAAGATTTGTACGCCCTACCTCGTCAAAGCTGTCTGTCCTGCCGGTAGCCATTGTCAATGCAAAAACTTTGAACTGTACCGGTTGACAATCATGATGGTGGTAAGACCAATAAGAACGGATGTTTTTGTCAGAACGTTTTCAAGAGACAGCAGCAAATTTCATATTGAGTTTTAGATCAGTACGTAGAATAATTGTGATTGTTTCTCACAACCAAGACGCAACGCCGGATAGGACTGCCTTAAGCCAGTAATATTCGTTTAACGTGCATCATTCAAGTATATCGACATAAAATGTCACGGATGATTTTTCAACCTGCGCTTGATCTAGATATAATATCTTCTAAGCAGCGTATACGATCGTTATGTCAAATATAATCAATTCTACATAAATAAACATAATTTCAAGCTCGAATTCGTGATTTTTTTTAGTCTCAATTAAACCCTTTAAAGTATGCTCTAAATTAGCCTGCTGTGGTGTTGTGCCAGCAATTTCAGGTACTTCAGAGAACAGCAGCAGCTTACCGCGTATCTTAAAAATTGATGAAATAAAATTACATAACATGATTATCATGCAAGGTTATATATGTGATGAACGAGAATGCGAGCTAGCGAATTGCCTTTTGAAACCTCTATCTTTAGAAGTAGAAAATTGTAATAATTTCAGAAGTACTTTAACAAAATTACTTCGTCAGTTACAAAATTAATAAGAATAGTGGAGTGTCAATTTCATGTGAAGTCAAAAACAATTCATTTAGAATACAAACACCGGGCTAATTCAATTCCACTTAGTTTAGACAAACTCCGTTTTTGTATGTACATTAAATTACCCTTATATATTCTTGCAAACTCATTTGTGTTTCGATATAAGAATTTTTGGGTTTCTTAGTGACTTCTAAATATGCTCACTTCAATAGACGGTATTACTGCTCACCCAAAGAGAAAAATCCGGTCAACAATGGATGTTACTTGTTTCAGTCGGGATCATATAGACAAGCACGCACTGGTATCATATCAATTGGATATTTCTGTCAAAACAAGGTTTTCTGCATCGGCAGCTACAAACGTGGAATGGCGGCAAAGGAGTCAGTGCCCGTTACTTATAGATGAACACCGCTTCCTTGCAAAAGGTTCACATGAAAAAAATGGTTGCCTTTTTGGACAACACTTGCGTCCAGAAAATAAAGATATCACAACAAATTACTCCTATTTCACCATCGTATTTAAAAACGATGTTATAGCTATTTGCCCTATATTCAAAAGTAGGCGAAGTTTACATATATATGTAAATCGAACAACTATATCGAAGGTTTTAATTGCACGCGGGTTGGAAACGCTGCTGAGCTGGATATTTGGGTACAAAAGTTTCAGCAAAATATATCTTTAGAAGTGATGTTCGTTCTGATATATATATATATATATATCTCGTAATAATTTGCAAAGTGTGAGTCGTTGATTAGATAGAGTTTGTTCATTGTTATTATCTTCGTGTTACGCATGTGCAATACTCGCTACCACATAGTAGCCGCTTTAAGTGATGGAGCGAGCGACTCTTAAGGCCGTATGTATGAACAATGCGAAAACCATTTTTTATATTAGCAAGATTTTGAGTAGTAAGCAGTAAGAAGATGGTCGCGAGGGACAACTACCGGTGACGCTACCCATCTGGTTTATGCATTGTCTCCTGAATCGACTTCATAACGTGAATAAACGTGATATTTCTATTAAATTGTGCGATTCATATCCGTGTGTCTTCCTACACGAATCGTAACATAAACTTTTCTAAAACGGCGGTAACGGTTGCTCCGACAATTTTGAGGAAGTCGATCTCTTAAGAGCCTCCTCATGTATGTATGTCTGTTTCTACTATGTGGTATTTCGAATGTTATGATTTTGATGCGCTTCTTTCAGTGGAAAGGGAACAGCTCAAACGTTTCACTTCCAAGGCTGTTAATGAGACGAAGCACGTGTCGAATCGAACAATGTAGCGGTGCCGGTGCTATAAGTCAAGAATAAATTGACTCTACCCATCTATGTCTGTGTGATTTTCATTTACGTGCTGTATACGAGTGTCCTGTTGTTATTTGTGGTAAAAACATTGTAGAAGTCCTCAAGCAATTATGGCCGAGGTAAATTTTGTTAGTTTAGAGTCAAGGTCGTTGATTATTTGCAAGATAAACAAATTAACCTATCGTTCGCGGTATTCTGCTTTAAGTAAATCTTAGCGAAACTAATAGTGGCAAGTGAAATATCTTCGATTACTGAATGTAGTTAGTTCAATTGTATATTATTTATGTCACCAATCAGGGCCCCAATTGTTGACGCACATACGTATTTAAGATTTCTTATTATCACCATTTTGTCAGACGAAGCACTGGGCCATGCTTTTTTTTTTATCCAGAACGGGTGCTGAAGTTCCTGGCGAAACGGTATTTCAACACTGAGCACGTTCTAACGAAAAGAATTAGGCAATTGTACTTACGCTAATACCATAGCTGACATTAGAGTTAGGAAATTTACGTTACGCATGTTTCTTATGGTATGTATCATGTGCGACACTGGAAAATGAATCAGAAACGTGACTCTGTGTGGTTTAACTTCCACATAGGTGCATCCTACCACTTAAAATAATTATTCTTGACGAGGATAAGAACCTTCCGCAAAATCACAGTTGCAAAACATTCCGATAGCTTCACATTATGAGCTTAATGCATAAAAAAAGATTATTTAGCTACTGAATGACAGCCCTTTCCTGATAAAGTATAAATGGATCCAATATTTCGTATGAGACATTTTACAATTTCTAAAATTGCATGGTTTATTCCAATATACCACACACTAATAGAAAAAAAATATTGTCGCAATAGCTTTAATAATAATACCAAGACTTGATAGACTAAAAGCTGTGCATTATACAAGACGCCCTATATTTAATTTTTATTATTATCAATATCAGAAGGTGCGTTCAGGCGATTGTACAAAAACCTTAAATCTGTCTTCATCGTTTCTTTGTGATTATGGCAGCAGGCTTTGACCAAAGCAACTCAAGGACTCCCGGTCCACAGTTCTACGGTGTCTTTTTCAACTCAAGCAGCTACCGAAAATACCAAAAATAAACGGACGTCAAATATGAATTGCAGTACACATAATTATAATAACGGTAATAACGTTACGTCACAAAGGCATCGCCGCCCGCGCGTACGTCTTCAGAAGAGTCGTTTGCTAGACGTGGAGTCTAATCTCCGTCTGCTCATGTTAAAAGGTCTAGTAGCAAGGAAATCGGATGCTGCCATTCTTGCGACTGCACCGAGGGTAAGGAATACCTAAAGATATATATAATATACATACTGCAAATAGACAGTCAAACTTGTCATTATTTTACCTGTCATTATTCTACATTTTCACTACTGACATGGGAGAGGGACTTTTTGTGTGCACGGTTATATAATTGTTTCTCAGAGAAACTTTTCATTGTTCCCAAAACTGGCTGTTTATCGCATCCTTGGGTATCGTTCTATTAAGGTCATTAAATCAGCATATAAGGTAAAAAAAGATTGATCAAAGCTGTGGACGATAGCCAAATAGCGTGAGTACATCCATAGAACTACACTAAATATTTACACTGGTGCCGCTTATGCTTACTGGTAAACAAACCGAAAAAGTAAAACAGCAAACGGTGCATTAATTTCTGTCTTCTTTATTCTTTCCAAAATTTAAGAACACTCAGTGACCTAAAAGAATAAAAAAGAACTTATTGAAAAAGTTATGATCATATGATTTCAATTTTTTTGCAGCATTTATAATTATAAGAGAACACTTGTATTACAGATCTGATATAAAATAGGACTAAAAACTAAAAATTATGAGACGTATCGTGGTTTTAAGTATAATTGACGTTTTCGTCATTTAATTGCAGGAGTTGCTACGTCCAATTACAATGGAACTGTATAAATCTCTTTCATCATTTGAAAAGGCTGAATTTCGCCGTGGGTGTCGGAAAATGGTTGATGGAAAGGTTAAAATTGATAAAAACAAACTTTGCAAGGTCATCAAACACAAAGAGAAACTCAGGTATATTAAGGCATAAATCCTTCACCCTATTATTTATATATATTTTTTGATAGCTTATCAGTTTGGAAGACAGAAACTAGACCTGATACTTTTAACAAGTTTTTACTGCATTTATTTTTAAACATTTTATATTTTAGCCCTAAAAGGCACGTCAGTATGAGAAAGAATGGAACATACAGTTGTTACAGGTACAGATGGAGCTGCAACAAAACTTTACTCGATCACGGAAGAAATTATTCAATGCCTTTCTGCATGTCCAGTAAAAGTTGTTGCAGCTAGAGCTCGTCCGTACTGCTTTAATTTGTTAACGGCTTTACCCCTTCGCAGGTATCTTTTAGAATAATCCCTCTGACTGGTTCAGTTGTTAAAGCAGCATAAAGAAGTATTCTCTTTTGTATACTCGTACTCAACTTGCATTATTCTGTCATTACCATTGCGTATAATGCCGTAAGGGACCAAAAACAATCCAGTGAAAATAAAAAGCGGCCCTTGTCCGCCTTACCTAACTCTGCTAGTTTCCCGATCTAGGGGACATAGATTATTGCAAAAGCCTTAGCTAAACCGGCTGGACTTTCTGTCTATGGCTTTTCTCACAAAGTAAGTCATGTTAGCCCATTTCATATACTGCTACCCAGCATCGACATGTACGCGTCTTGCTTAATGTACAAACCTTACTTTTCCGTCCTACTGGCTGCCCCTGATTCAAAGTCGTTACTTCTTTGTTTTATACCTTATGCTACTCTTTAGAATCTATCTCATCTTGCTGGGTGTTACAGATCGCTGACACATATCGTTAAACCTTTACTATTTAAACTACGCAATCTATCATTTTCATCAGAAAGTATCCCAGTGTCTAGAGGTACCAGCTTTTGTTCCAAATTCATCACTGAGAATAGTAGTGCAGCTAGGCAAAGCAACGCCATAATTGATTGCGTAGGTCTGGCTGAAGAGTCAAGTAACTTTGGACCTAAGATATGCCTTGTAAAGTACGGGTTGTAAAACGGATAACAACTTTTCAAGTGGCGAACAAGTGATCAAATACCTAATTGTAGAGCCTGTAGTCTCTGATCTATCTCTAGCATATTAAAATCGCATTGAAATCCAGTTTTAATAGGGCGCTGGGAGACATTAGTAGGTTTCAATGGCTCTTTCAACAGTTTTCTTATACAGGTCTTGGCAGAAGGTCACCAAAAAGCTAAAAAGCGAGACATTGGTTTCAGAGAATTATATTTTTTGACGAGTCAGATGTAGCCTCCAGAAACAATTCGTCATACTTTCTCGAGAGATTTTCATCTACTGACTTTTTACAAAAGTTGTTAGGTTTATCGCCACCCGCCGGAGTTAAGATCAGTAAATCTTAAGTGTAATGGTCATGAATCGTCTGCTCTTGCCAAAGAACTATAAAGAAAAGACCGCATCGTATCAATTATTGCCTCCTTAAGAGGCAGAGAAGTAGAAGACAGCACCTGATGGTAAAAAAAATCCCCCTTGGAACAATAACCCGTGGTTTTCGAATCACAGGATTCGGCGAACGCGGCAAGATAGTACAACAGAAGTCTTTGAATTTTCTACTTTCTGTTATAAAAAGGTGTGAGGAAAAACAAGGGTCAGAAGGCCCTGTATATTACTCTTTGACATTAGTTTTTTTATTGCCTATGCCAGTACGTGATCAATTCCATTCCCCATTATATTATGTAGAGTTATATTAATCATTCTAAATCAGGTTTTCTTTTTTTGATACAATGTAATTAGTAAAATGAAAACGATGTAGGAAGATATCGTCACCGCAGTGACATCTCTAAGGACTTGTAACCCCATAAAGGCAATCCAAGTAGATTTAAATAACTGTCAGACTTTATATAGGAGATAATTTTCTTTTAATTTACTAGCAATATCAGAAGTATACCTGTTTGAAATATATTTGATTTTACACTTATCTCTATTAATGGGTATTTATACATTACTATACGAATTTTTTGTATTACTTGAAAATTATTAATATAATACATATGTAGATACAGATCTACTAAGCATCGTCAACAATAATATATAGATACTTTCATTTGTTACTTCATTCGCTCGTCTTACAGCATAGGGTTGAGTTAAATATTTTAGAGTTAATTGATCATTATTATGCACAGTATCAAACGTTTGGTGCACAGACATCTTCGGCTGGATGACTCTTTCACTCTAGACAGGCATTTCAGACGTAAATAAGTTTTATTTTCGCTAACGATAAGTTCATGTTTGTTGATAAGAACGGCCTTTGGGAGTGTCATATTACGCAAGTGAAATGATGAAAAGCTGAGACACGCCTCTTCTAACTGTACCTCCGAAAAAATTAAATGAATTAAATGAAAATTAAATGAACCATTTCTGTGTCCCTCTTAACCACTATTGTCTAGCACAGTTGTGCTGCCTGGAAGACTATTTACTAACCAGACGTATGAAGCAGGATCAACATTAAATGTTTACCTTCTTTGTCCTACAGTCTTATCCCAGAAAGCTGCTTTATCCTCCTGTAGCAATTGCTTTTTTATTCGTATCTGTTAGTGCCTCCTCCTCCCCAAAGCAATACTTATTTTCGGGATCAATATATGTATTTTCATTTCGCACACTCCGTGACGACGTGCGACACTTTGCAAGACAGAGGTCAAAATGAGTTCGGACTAACACGAATAACTGAAGAGCTTTGGGACTACGTCCGAGCCTGCCTAGAACTTTTTCCAATAGGGGACGCTGCTGAGGACGAAGACAGCAGGACACACAGATTTCATACGATGAACAACATCCTGATGTGCAACTCCAGCAAGGGTACCTAGTCAAATCGAAAGAAGTTGATTATCATGAAACTGAAACTTTTTATTTTGTTATATGAAATCATCAGGTACTTTATTTCAAATGCATTGTATCTAGATCAGTTTAATAAGCTCAAAACTAAAGGTAGCAATCCTGGCGTTACGTGGTTGCTATGTTAAAGCGATTTCGCGGAAGTTCGATAAAAATAATTTACATACCTTTCAAGTAGTCCATTAAAATTATCACAGCATCCATTTGAAAGTAGGAGAGAACGATTGCACACAAAACCTCGATCATCGGCCACCCAAACAGCACCCTTTAAAAACAATAAATTAAAAAAAAAAGTTTCGATATAATATTGCCTTTTGTGTGCAAATACAAAAATCTACTAAATTTACATAAGGTCGTCGACATTTTGAAAGCAACGCGTGTTGTTTTTCTAATCCGAGATAACATCGAAACGTTTGCAATTTCTTGAATCCACAACCAACGGTTGCCTGATTCGATGACATTTATGTTGAGAAGTAAACATACTGCGGATAACGCCAAACAATTTCAACATTTTATAACATGATACAATTAAACTAAAAGCCATTCGCGATTTACAGAGCAGTTATGTACCCACAAAATATTAGGGTTACCTGTGTGTATTTACAGGAATCCAATTATTCCATGGTTACTTAAAAATGGGTTAGTACTTTTAATTGTAACTTATTACTAGTTGCTTGTAAATTCAAATGGTCATTTTATGGGTTATTTTTTAATTACTTTTGTAACATTACATTTTTTCCAACAAGACAAGTAAGCAGACTTCACTATTTGGAAACGTAGAATGCATCTGTAGGACGAAACCTTTTGTATGTACTTTAAATGATTAATGAAGCATTCGTGTTTGTGAGTTTTACTATTTTTCTAGGGCTGCAACAGAGATAGAAGTACAATTTCAGTTACACATAAATCTACGATTTAAAATATGAAAATCCAGATTTTTATGGAAGCATTATTTTAAAATCCTAAATTATACAAACATATAGAAGTTTTTACAGGTATTTCAGAATGCTACGATTAATATGACTTGACTGTATATTGATTAGCAATAATAAATGATGAAATAGGGCTTACTTGAAGTGTATTTTTACATGCTGATATTGAATTGCGATTTTGTTCCTGGTTCTGCGTTGCTACATTTATATCTCCAACTGACGTATTCGAATTCCAACGAAACGAGAGTGCTGGAAGCGGAACTGCGCCACCAGTTTTTCCAGAATTTGCTTCTGAAAATTTGACGTTTTCTGGTTTTTAAGTATTTTGCTGCGTCTCAAAACATAAAGTTTCTGTTGTCTAATTAATTCAACCGTCAATAACGCACATAGAGCAAACGCCGTTCTAGTTAGAATTTCAAAAACCTTGGTTAATGCGTTAAATTGGATGGTATAGCTTATTGAGTTTCCAGTAAATAGGTTAAAAGCATTTCAATTAAATTGACTGACATCCTGTTGAACTGACCGTGATCAGAGCCGAATTGATTTACGCGGTCTGCTTCATTTTGGTCTCGTAAAACAGTGACAACGCAATAAAGAAGCGACGCACAAAAAATGAATCCAAGAACGGTCCGACGCCTCAGCAAGCGCATCACGCCGCTACCCCACGAAGCGGCGTTGCTACCGGCGGTGTTTGTTGTCGTACCGCTATGACCTATTACACTTCCTCCCACTCCGCCACCATCGTTGTTAGCCCCTCGAAGAAAAACCATCTTCCGCTAATAATCAGTATATCACATTCATACATGTGGGATCAATGATGATGATGATATAGTAGCTTAAAATGCCGATTAATCTCAACTGTTTTTCTTTTGATATGTCGTTATCTTTGTCAACGTCGGTGGTTTCAGATTATGTTCCCGTTTTGCTTCTGCAAGGATATAATTTGGAAAACCACATTAAATGAATAGTCAAATTTATTGCTTTGCGTCAAATAACTTCGAATAATGTGCTATTGACCTCAACAGCCCATAACAAGATAAACATAAGTAGATGTTTTAAATCGCTAATAATATCATTGATCTTTTAGAGGATATACTACTCAAAGTTAGTCAAAATACCATCTTGCATATTTTATTCTCGTTAAATCCCCATTTTACATTAATGAATGGATATTAAGTTTCATAAGACTTATACAGCTAATTTAAGCTGATATTATAAAAAGATATGCCTAGTAAACACAGGAACTTATAAAAAATGAGAGTAACTATTATTCTTACTGTTTATTGACGTTCGTTCAGGGATTGTACATACATTAGTTATTATTCCGTGTTATTGAACGACAGATGCATGATGACGTTAACTAGCTCTATTGATCAGCTATTAGAGCTCCAATCCAATGTTACTACCCGCCCCATGGGAACACCGCATGTTTTACGGTGCCCAGGGGCAAACCGGTCAAAGTATGTTAGGGTATCTACCCTGAGAATACATGCTTGTATTCTCCCTTGCTTATCGAGGCGTGCACTACACTGCTCTGCTGGAAATAATCTCGTTCCTGACAGCTGACAGTTTTAGGTGCCTACTACAAAGGCTGGTCACTATTTTCAGTAAAACGAACAAGTTACTATCGCCGTTCACTTATGTTCATATTTGCAACAGAAGGGCATGCACATAGCAAACACAAATATAGCCGTGTCTTATATTTCTGCTGCGGAGTAGCTCGTGCTTTGGATATAGCAGAGAGGGTAACTTTGAATTTGTGATGTGTGGAGTATGTTGCTGTCACTTTAGCGCCGACAATAGCGTGAGGGTGACAGCGGTAAGGAGTATAACAATGCTAATGGAAAGACATACGTTCTCAAATTGGGTAGCTACCAAATGTGTGTTTCACAAAAAGATCCAGAGCAGGAAGTTGTCTAACACAGCTGACGCAGTAAAGCAAAATGCATTTTAAAATTTTGCGCTAGAAACAATAAAATACCTTGGCAACAGCAATACGGATGAACAAATCGAGTACACTTTTTTAAGTGAATGGGTATTTCCGCTGGTTTGATAAACCTCCGTAGTGATACTGACAGTACCAAGTCGACCCTTGTATTTGATTTTTGCATATAAATACGTAAACCTGCGAGATACATTTATTTCCAAAGAAAACTGTACCGATCCATACCGTATGGGACAGTAGCAGATTCATTATCACTAATACAACAATTTAAAATACAAAATTTTCATAAGGATGATGCTAGTCTTTTTTCTCGATCAGATCCAGCTCGTAATGTCACATGCTTATGCCATCTGTAGGTAACAATAAACCATTTACCTTCCTTGATATAAAAATCTTTACACCTTCGCAATTTATCAACGGGTGCGCTTATAGTCCTTTTTTCATAAAGTAGACAGCTCTCAGTGCCAAAAATTAGGCGAGTGAAAAATTTTCGAGCACATACGGGTAAGGAGGGTAATATATTTTCTTAGATAACGTTTTTACGTTTGTTCGCTATGATTTGAAACGTTTTAAATTAGTAACGAGATGTTCAAAGCAGGTTCTACGTAGAGCTGCAGATGTTGTAATGGCTAGTTAACAAAACAACGAGAAACCAAAATGGGTGGTCAAATACGAGGAAATTGTATTTTTATGCTTAAGACGGAAAAAGTGCTCATTATCGTTGTCCAAGTTAATTCACTGTAATAATTTTATTTTATTAATTTTTGTACCATTCAGCCCCAAAGCTTGAATCGACACGGTGCATATCTCTCACCACTGATCGGCTTGAATCAACGATCAAAATAACTATTATTCGATCGTAAGTTAATTTTAGTTTGTCTTCCTTGCACGCAGTAGTTGGAGGTGACAAACTATTGTTGGTTACTTCTGGATCTTTCAAAGACATACGAAATAAATAAGTAAAGAGAAGAAACGATCTTCTGTAAAATACGTCTGTGAAAATTTTTCGTTACGCATACGCCCAAAGAGGCATTTAAAACAAGAGATGAAATATGGCTAACCCTGAACGACAAGTATAACTGGAAAACGTCACTAAAAACATTGAAATCTTTAATTTACTTTAACGTAGTTCTACATCCAAGGGTTCTCTTATATTAACAGAACAGTTATTCGTCCGGGTTGTTAAGGAACTGGTGGACTAAACCAGCGTCTGGAATCTGCGAAAACTTTTTTGAACATGGTCATCCGCCTGCTTAGTTCCATTCAGTTGTCAATCATGGAGTAGAACTTTTATAGAAAGACCTTAATTCAAGAGTTTTAAGAGATTTGGGCATACGTTAAGCTCTCATGTTTCAAACGCGTAAAAGGTCTTCCCGTAAACACTTAAAGTCACTTGGTTCCTTTATTAATTAGAGCGACACATATTTGAAAAAAATAGAAAGTTCGTATAGAGTAAAAACAGTAATGGTGGGAACAAAAAATTAAATGCTTTCTAGCTCTTTCACTTGTTGCACGTGAAGCGCATCTGCGACTCAGATTTAGAATTTGTTTGTAATCGTATAAAAGGTTATATAATAATAGCAATAGTGAAATCTCTGAACCAACCTTTTATAATAAGGTTCGTAAGTGCTTCTATAGAAACACTGGCTATATTTATACGTATCATACACCAAATTTTCAACATTTTGCACTTGAAATGAAGCATATAAAATGAAGAAGCCAAGCTTAATGGATTAGGTTAAATGCTTTTTCCCTACCATATCTTTTTCTATGAAAACTACGTGTATTAAAGCTCCTTAGACTCAAACTTCTATGTACCTTAGTTACTGTCCTTGCGTGTAAAAACCCTTGCTCTACAAAATTTTTTGGTGATGTTGCCAAAGCTCCTCCATACCTTGTAAATGCTTGAGGAGGAGAGCAAACATTGTAACAATACATCTGATAACCGCTAATAGCATAAAGCAAATGAGTTGCATTACCGTTTTTTAGTATATTGAATGAATAAAAACCGATTAGGTCAAATCTGTAAAGCCGTTATGCGTGTGTATTCGAGTAGTAAATAATATTGTTATTAATAGAAAAATATTAGCATGTCTATAATAATCTAAGAAGATAGTCGCAGCTCCGGAATACTGCTTTTACGCATATTCTAGTTACCTGCTTGCAAACGAATGTTGCGAGATATGGGATACTAATCTTTAGTCAATGACAAAAGCTTTTAACAAAATATTGAATACCCTTTACGTCTCGTATTATAGGTTGGATCGACTACAAGACTTTGTTTTTAGCCGGCGTCAACAACGTGAGGATGTCGCCGTTGAAACTGCAGCATTGGCCACAGACCCTTCAGTCCCAGGACACTTGCTGCGTTTGGGTTCGATTGCTAATAAAAGGGCAAAATTAGCTCTTGATGGAAAAATGAAGGCATGTTGATTAAAGTAACATCATTATGTAAAAAAAAAATAAAAATAGAAGAAGTAAGCCATAAAGTTCTAAACTTAATTTTTTTAGACACATCAGATTAGAAAAGTATATTTAACCTATGCGTTAAAGCTTTGCCAGCTCCAGCTACATTCGTTTTTTTGCTGAAACACTCAGGCTTTCTCATACGTCGCGAAAGTTGAGGGTCTAGAGGATGATTTACGCCGCAAGCGGAAACGTTCGAGTGATGCGATAATATATTCTGGTGATGAAGCCCCTGAAACTTATGCACTGCATAAACCTAAAGGCGGTCTTCCTGAGCAAATGCCTGTGATTGTGATGCCCCAGGTAAATGATATTTTCATCTAATATCTACTAATCAGCAAAACTCTAGGGTAAATCAGTAAACAGACACGAAAGAAATATTTCCGTAAATAAAAAATGCGTATATTAAGAAATATTTACTTAGCTTGATTTATGAAACAAAATTTTTGTGATGACTACAGACACGAAAACTTCGTTGAAGAACGTAAAAAATTATTAACATTTATAGCGCTACATAATAGCATAATTCTAAAGCAAGTGGTCCCCTGAAACTAAACGCATGGAAGAAGAATAAAGTTAATTTAAAAAACTATTTATAGTGAAAAAAAATGATAAATTGTACTCACAAGAATTTTACTTAATTTCTTTGTGTGATAGATAAAAGAGCAATCCACGCATAATGATGTAAGCTATAATTATTGTTGTTCTTGCATGAAGCAGCATACTTAATAGAAAATACGGTTTCACAACGCTTGTTTTCAAATAGGTGATAAGGGAAGTAATCAATAACACAAAAGCTGAGGAAAACATAAAAACTGTCATCTCAGGTAAGTATTAATTTTTCCGAAATAATGCTACAATATATTTATATCGTGTTCTTGAGAACTGTTGTATTGACGCCATTAATTTTTTCTAGTTTGTTTCTAGTAGTGCCAGTAGTTCTAGTTTGTATTCTCGTGAAAACTTACTGAGTACCCCAACAACATTACTTTTGAACCCATATTTCTGATTGCAATAGGTTTTCTACTTAACCATTTGTATGTCCCAAAATTTTGAAATCTATTTTACCTTTAGATGAAACAATATCACCTGCAAATTGTTAAAAGCATGTCTGTTATGTATTATTGAGTATTGGATAACTGTTCCATTCTGGCTTAGCGCATGACGTTTAGTTGTATATTTTGATAAACATTTTATTTCACTCTTTTTTACATTCCCGAAGAGTTAACGTAGATAAATTTCTGCGTACGTTTGCTATAATGTTATATTATAATAACAGTGTTAATAACAATAATATATAACCGTGATTTGCATTCAAATTAATTATGATTACTCTTTGTATTGGCACTTTTTTGCAATGCAGAACTGAAGCCAACATACACTTTTTTCCTCGAAAGGTGTAAGTTGCTCATTGGAGATAAAAAAAAAGCCACGTAAGTGTATTTTAAAGTTTTTCTTCCTATGGTGAGTTATTAGGTTTATTTTGTCTAACTACAGCGACGCTCGTTAGAATCATGTTTATCGATTATTCGTGTAAACGGTGAACAATAACTTAACGAAGGCTCACAACATAATACTGGAAAGTTATAAATGACAGCCGATTCATTAGGTTTCCAAAAATATGTCCAAATCCTGTTAAAAAACCGTTTTTTGATCTATCTTTTTTAAATCACTATAGTTCTGATTCATCATTAATTTCTTGTTGTGAATAATTTGTATCTATAGAATTAAACGCCGCTGTGAGAATGAAGGCTTCCTCGTTGATATCGATGGGAAAATTTGTGCATTGCACATAACTCAATTATTTACCAAACTTGAGGATTTCGCACAACCGTTGGAATGGTTCGCTGACAAGCAGGTAATTCACAATTTCACAATATAGTACTATGAATTATGATGGTATTATAATATATATTATAGTTGATAGCTCTATTAAGTCAGCCCGAATTGTTGGTCTTTTAATGGGCTTCTAACATACATTATCTTTATCTTACATTGGGCGGCCAATTGAATAGGACCACTGCACACGTATTAGGTGGTTCTGTATAGAACAACATCGTGGAATTGGAATTGTTTCACGGTCTTAGCTTTTTTATTTTCAACCGGAGCACGTTCTCTTGCTACTTATTACCTTCTGCCATTTGGGTCCTAGCTTATATATTCTTCTGCCGAAGAAGTCTAAAGTACGAGAATCCATGAAAACTCGAAATATAATTGAAGGCCTTACGCTGGGATTTTAACGATTTTGCTATAAAGGAAAGTTCACAAAATTTTGAAAACAATAGTAATCTGTGAGAGCAATGTGTGGCGAATATAGTGGATGGCAGAAACCCTTCTACTGCAAGTTCTACTCTTTTGGCACTGTGATCTTTGCGTTTTAAGACCGAGCATCGTTATGTATGGGGAATGGTGTAGCTCTATTTTATAATCTTCGTTGCTTACTGCGGAAGGCTTCATCATCTCTTCTAATCGTTAACAATAAACTTAAGCCGTAAACGACGAACCAGGACTAGTGGAGTTCTTGTATACAATACTTACATTAGATTATCAAACAGAGGCCATGAACTCTTTTAAATTCAAGATGTCCTTCCGGGAACTTTTCAAACCAACAGCTCACTATATTTCTAGTGGCAACATTTTCGCCGAATACAAAGTGAATACCTCTAAAGTTTTAAAATAAAGCTTATATTCGTATACCGTTTGACTTTTCTGATTTCTAAAGTTCACTACAGCTCGCTAAAAGACCGAATAACGCCATATAAGTGAGCTCTCTCAGATTTAAAATAAAGCTTAGGTCAGTATTATATATGCTCAAAATATTCTAGGTCTTATGTCGCCATCCCTAACAGCGACAAAACTTATCGGTACATCCGTGTAATGTAAGTTACCTTTTTATTAGCGATGCATTTTTCGATTTGAAGATTCTAGGTTTGGAATGTTCAACGGATTGGAGACTGCTCTATTCCGTAGTGTAGAAGAACTCTTTGTAGACCATAAAATGTATAGGCCCATATGCCACCACTATTGTGATAATATAATTAGTGTATGAGCATTCGAACAAAAGGTAAGCAATATATTAAAAAAACACACAAGAAAATACCGAAAATTATTGACTGGCCTCCTGTTGTCATACCTGTTGTCAGGACTCGCGACCAATTCCCCCTAATCTTATGTTTGTAGTTGCCTTTTATCTACCTTCATTTATTGATAAACTCGTTCGACTTTCAGCGATATGGCTGCACATTGACTGAAAGAGGGCTTTTGCATGTTACTATCTGGTTGTTGATTTATGTGGTGTCTTTTAAGGAGTTGAACGTGTTTATCCGGGACGTTCTAGAACTGGAGCACTGTCCGTTTCTGTCTCGGGTCAAAGGCCTCTCTGGTAACCTCATAGCTTCTGCGACGCTGGTGCCTCCAGATCAATGGATAATTAAGGTATTTTCATTTTTATGCTATTCGTCAATTTCTCGAAAGGAAGAACTCGATTCGAAAGTATTAAAAAACTCTTAAGTATACTTCCTTCTAACATATGTGCTTATATACTTACGACCAATATAACATGAAAACAAAACAAATTAGTGTCATGTAAAAGCTAAAATGGTATGTAGACATAGATGAAATATCTATTTTCTCCTTTTCATCTTTAATGATAAACCTCCACCTATTGACATCGGTCGAAGAAGATACAATGATGGCTATACTGATTACTGTTTCATAATGAACAAACTACAGATCAATTTTTTCCTGGCCAATTGATCGATGCAAGGATTTTATTAGTTGTTCAAATCAACCAAGTTTAGATTTTTACGAAGGTTGTGAAATGGACATAGTTCTATTTTTTGGTACAATCCGAAGGTCACCGTTTTAACTTAAACTAGATTAGATGACTTGCGAGATCTAGATAGATTGCTAAGCTAAACAGTTTTTGAAGGTGCTAAACATAAATGAATTCCATTCCATATAGTCGACACACTGTATGAAACGCGGTTTGTTTGTTTAATTTTAGGTTCCTCCGGGTATGTTCACAGTATACACCTGTCCACCCTCATCTGCTCAATCGACCACTGATCGGATAGAACTCGTGGCAGCTCCCGCCATTATTGGTCGAATGCCGTACCAGCTTTTTGATGATATTGTTCTAAGGTAGCTATTTTAATTAATCCTATGTTATGAGTTGTTGCTTAATTAAGCTATCGTTCAAGCAGACCCGCATAGACGTCACCTTTTAAATAAACCGCCATTTAACTTGACCTTACGTCAGCATTTACCTCAATATGTAAAATTTTGCTGTCATGTGTACTTCTTCAGATATTCTCACCTAATAAAATTTGGCATTGCCATTAATGTATATGCTCATCGCTCAGAGAGAACGCTCACCAAGTTCATCGACTTCACTGGGTCAAGGATCCGTAAAGAGGTACTCATTATGTAGTTCATTAATACATGTACCGCTCAGTAAATAATTTGCTTATTAATTTCTGTTTTACCCAACGTTTACCTACTACTTGATCATGGCATTTGAATGCTATGATGATTGAATGAAAAACTAGATATTCAATCACTAATTTCAGTGGCTAGCCATTACCTACAAGATAATTTCTGCTATCTTTACAGGAGTGTTTTTCTGTGCCTAGCCGCGGCCAAGTGGTTCCGTTAGTACGAATTAATATCTCTAAACACCTTCTGCCTTGCAAATCACGATTCACCGGATGGAAGGTTAGTCAGCTTCTGATGTTTGTCGAAGAATTTTATTATTATGTCGTGTAAAGAGAAAGAGTTTGTTTTCTAAAAAGATCCACATCAATAAGGCATTCAACTACGTATTTTCTTTATATTTCATAGATTTGTACATTTGTAACGAGAATGCGATTTAGCAGATACGCAAGGGCTTTCTTCGTTACCTTTAGGCATACTTTTTGAAGTTCAAGTTCTTAACATGTAAGTGGTTGAGTAAATTCGTTCGCATTTTGCTGCATACAACAAATATACCTTTTTATGTTGATGTGCATATTCTTGCCGTATTCAATATTCAGATGATGCTTCCGCTGACCGAAGCTCACGATGATTTCGATGAAGTAGATCGCCATCAGGATCTAATCCCCACCCTTGGTGTAGTAATGGCTGTCAACCAGAAAAAGCAGACAGCCATTGTCTCGACAAGACCTTCCAGGATCAGAGTAACTATACTAATTAGAACATAAATATACACACGAATGCGCTAGAGTAAAATTTTCTCCTGTTATAACCGTTCTGTATTCGCTGGCAGGTACTTAGATACGTTATTCGTGAGTGGAATTTAAAATTTATGCGAAGTCTAGGCCTACTTGACTGTATTCGTTTACTCACTCTCATTCTTTCAGGCTGCGACCAAGAACACAACGCTGTACGGGCTTTTAGCGAACAATGTTGGAGTTGGTAAACCAAAGGATCCCGGTGTGATAAGTGCTCGTTTACTGCATGGAAAAAAGGTAAACTACACATTTAACACTTTCTGTTGTGTAGTCGGAAAGTACACTCCTCTATGCGACAATAGACAATTTTGTTTTGCACTATTTATGTAACTCTATCTTATTTCATTACGTGTATAATAAGGAGCGTATCCAACTATCTATTATCATGCTATTATAATACGACATTTTATTAACTATTCTTATTATTATTATTAGAACCCTATTCTCATTTACCTCGTATTTCTTTCTGTCCGAATAATATTTTTGCTTGCAAATGTACTTAAAATCATATCATTAGAATTCTATATCTGCGATTTTATTGAAATCGGAAGTTGAAGACTTACAGCCATTTAAATATTAAAATAGAACATTGAAGGAAAGGAAGAAAAAAGGTAGAAATACATAAATTAAAAGAAACAAGAATTATGACCCGATGCAAGTTACCGTATATAAGCGAAGCGCTTTAAAGAGGAACGATTTCGAAGTGCATGGTAATAAAGCAAATAATTCTAGCCGCACATGTTAAGCGTAACATTGACTGTTTTTTTCTAAAACAGGGCTCGTTCTTTCGTGGATTTCTTGTAAAGCGTCTTACAAATGTGGACAAACAAAATGTTATCCTGAAGGTTTTTCTCGGCATGGACTTTCTTTGGCCCATTTGGGGACACTTTGAAGATGCAGCTACCAACATGCTCGTAAGTATGCAGTGACACACAAGAATAAATATACTTGCACCACAGGACATCTACAATATACATGTTCCTGTTAGACGTAGCTTGTTTCATCAAATTGAGTATTATCGATGGTTTTTCTTTTCCTTTGGGGTAGTTCATCTTAATAATATCGTACAACAGTTTACATTGTCTTCCGTCAATTTTGCATGTTTTATGCATTCAAATGTTGCGTCTGCATATGTTATATAGGCCTTGATTTTAGCCAGAAGAACTTGACATGTTTACATTTATTAACTTATGACTTTGCAAATGTATTTTTCTACTTAGCGTTGTGTATAAGCATCGCTCACTGTTAAAGATACGGCTTCTGATTCTCTCTTAATTTTACTGCTTCATGTTCACAGTGGATCTGCAAAGGAAGCTTAGGTTATGATTGGGACGAACATAATACAAAATCAAGTTCTTCCTATTGTTAACGTATCGAATCAACAAGCTCTTTTCACGACTTGACCGTGTTCCATCACCAAAAATGCTATAGTGCTTGTACTTGCTTTCAGAGGTATTCCCTTTTCACTTTGATGGGCTGCTAGAACACTGACAAATGTAGGCCTAACGAATATGATGAAAACGCGAATTCTGGAAAAGTATCGAAAGTATTAAAAAAAATAATCGCAACGAACTTTGTATCGGTTTGGGATCTACTTTGACTGACACTCATACATTTGTTCTAATAAAAGGCCGATTTGAAGGCTAACAAAAAATCAATTCATGAAAGCTGGGTTTTATTCTATTCTACAGATGACTAACCAGGGCTTGGAACACGACAGCCAACTGAAACTCGAGATTTTTGCCAAACCAAAATAAAAAAATCTAGAGAAGGTTATGTTGACACTCATTCATTTGTTATTTTTTTCTAATGTATCAATTGCATATTTCATTTAAATAAACTATTTGCTTGGCAGGTTCGACGATTACCAAATTTTAGCGTAATACGAATTCAGCTTCTGGAAGATGAGTTTCATACGAAAGAAGGCGTAAGGGTCTGTCTGGCGTCTGAAAATGACAACGAGAATACAGAGCTTTTCCAAGCGGGCCCACATAAGGCTTCTTTGAGATACAAGCAGCTCGAAAACTTTAATTACCAAACTGAGTTCAAAGACAAGTGTGACTCTGATGAGGACGACAGACAAACTAGGCAGAAAGCATTCATACTAGATGGTACAGACGATGAAGGCTTTGACTGGAATTATGATGCTCAACCGAATCTTACCCTGTTGGCCCAACGTAAGTGCCCCCGAAACGTGCGCTTCTGATACCTTCTGTATTGTCACATCTTTAAGGAAAATATTTGTAGCACTCACGGGATAAATAAATTATTTTTTGTTAGTATATATATATATATATATATATATATATAGATATATATATATAACATGCAGTTAATCTATAAAATTTAGCGCATGTCTCATCGACTATAAAAATTAATGCAGCAATTGCGGATTTGCTTTCACCGGTTGCAGAGGTTACTGCGAAGAATGACCGATCATCTACATGCGAGTCTTCGGATGAGGGTGATGAAAAAGATAATACACGAAAAACTCTTTCAACAAAACGAACTAAAGCCGATAGAGAAGAAGAGCGACGTAGAAAAGAAAATCAGATGCAAGACCAGGAGAAGAAACGAATCAGACAAGCTCTGGGGCAACACGTAGCAGAAGAGGTTTGTGCTAATTTAGTTTGGGAAACCAAATGGCCTTATTTGAAAAGGAAGATGATGTTTTCCGAAAAACGAAAGCTGATGGGCTCTCACTTCGTTGTAGAACAAGTTGAAATTACAGCTGGCTACAAGGCAGTGAGATCTCTCACGAGGGCAGTGTATGTTACAATATGATTTTACACAAAGAGGACCAAAAAAACAGGATTTCAAAAAAACTTTTTGTAAGTAGGGTATAGCCCAAATCAGTTGCTGTGCCTGCATCTGTGCTTCGATAATTAGGGAATAAGCTTGGTTTTCCGTCACTGGTTTAGACTGACTTCTTTATTGCTATTGAAGAGTATTAGATTATCATTGTAAGAAAAGTTGCATGAAAAGTTATGATAAAATGAAGTTCGAGGAACTACAAATGTTAAGTATGACAGATACTTTAACTACTAATAAATTAGATAATAACGACCGGCAGGATTCGCCTCAGACGGCTGAAGAGTTTGAACGTAAAGTCATGGCTTCACCAAACGACTCGTCTCTATGGATCCGCCTAATAGCTCTCCACCTAAAGCAGTTAGAAGTGGATAAAGCTAGACAAGTCTCCAAAAGAGCGCTAAAGACTATTCACGGGTAAGTTGAAACAGTTTCAATGGTGCATGTATATGATACAATCAAAAAATTTAGCTTGATACTTTTTCTAAATGATGTAGAAATAAATGAAAACGCAGCTTGCTTCACATCTGAACGAATATGGTCAAGGGATGGTGCCTGCCACCAAAAAACTACATATCAATACAAAATCGGCGACAATATCGAAGATCTTGTAATGAACTGATCAGATCCCCTACATGATGTTTTTAAAAATGTTTATCAATATGTGCATTTTTACTCCGTGCTATAACGACAGCAAAAGAGCGTAGAACAAAATCTTTTTTGTCAAATTCTTTCAAAAGCAATATTGAGAAATGAAGTAAAGGGAAGTTTGCTTGAGGTGAGTCAGACAAGTCGAATAGTGGATATATGAAACTGATTACCGATGCAGACTGGGTTTGTTTTTGAAGGTACGAATAGCTGAACAACTTGCGTTCACGTATTTCTCTGTTACGATGACGACGCAAGAACATGCAAAAAGTCTGTGCGCAATAAATAACGTTTAACATATTTTATTGTTTGTTAACAATACTTGATGAACGTTGAAATGGTAATGTTACCACTAGAGCTAATGGGAGGTAGATAGATGACTTGTATATGCTTTCTACTTACTTGTGCAAGATGAAAAGATGCATAAAAATGTTACGAACGTTGCTTAGTCATATGGAGTACAAATAATGCCAAATGGCTCGTTCCCTTAAATTTAACAGTGGGTCATGATAAACCTTTGTTGCAGAAGCGAACAAGATAAGCTGAACATATGGCTAGCTCTACTCAACTTAGAGAATTTGTACGGATCGCAGGAGTCCCTCGACGACGCCTTTCGCGAGGCGGTCAAGCATAATGAACCTTTAAAGGTATAGCATTTGAGACTACTTTAAAATTGTCCAGTCGTTTCATATCTACATAATCATCGTTGATTAGGTTAAATAAAATTAGTGAAGTTCACCTGTTTGTACGCATTCCTGAAAATACTCATATTTTTAAATGGTCACCCTGCACTAGCTAGCTAGTATGCTCCTTCAGGCACTTACGCTATCAGACGCTTACGTGATCCCACAATTGTTCGTAGAAGATGCGAATGAAGCGTGAATAATAGATGTTTATATATATAGGACGAGCTATAATGGCATGACGCTTTTTTCACCATACAGCACACTCAGAACGTAAACATTTATCGTAAATTTGCTTTTACTTACAATAGGCACATTCTCTGGATTTTGAGGGAAACAACAATTATTTCTACAGTTTATTTTTGAATAGATAATAAATATTTTCTCGTCAGGAAAAAATTGAGGTCGACCTGTTTGTTCATTGTTGAGCGAACTGAGGGGCGAGGTCTCGGTTTGATTGGCCGACTTTTACCTGAGGCCGTCGTGACCAATCCATGACATGGCATGCTCAATCACATCTGAATTATTCGCTAAGGCCTTAATCGGAATTAACGAATTATTATGAATGTGTTCTTGGAGGGAACAGGTCAACTAGCAAGTCCACACGATTTTCTCTTTGTCGTAGGTTTTCCGTTATGGTGTGCTCTAACCAGCTTTTAACCATAATGAGCTTGTTGTTTTGATCTAGAAAAAAAAACTGACCTTTTTCTAACGTCAATAATAGCGGCGAAACGCTACGTCAAACAGCCCACTAAGATTGATTTGAATTTGAATGCCGTACCTTGTATATGTTTAATCTATGGAGTAAATAAAGCGAGTATTTCAATGAAATGTATAACTCTGATTGGACCATCCATCTACTAAAAACATAACTGATATTGATTTCAAAGCTACCGATATATACCCAAATAAGTGTTATTCCACTTGTAACGCAGGAAAGACCTTATCTAAGCTAAGTACCTTATTGCGTTATAATTATTCCTACTCTTCCGTTAAAATATTCTTCTACTCCTGATATTTTGTTCCTGTTATCTGCCAACAGAGGATTTAACTACTTGTCAAAGTTTTACATTAAGCCCAGCTCGAATCTAGCCAATTACATAAAAAAAATCAGTCCGAGGCGACCGTTCACTGTGAACGATTTTGGTTAGATAGACGGACACAGATGGTCAGTTTAGTATCATAGATCATGTCATGTTAACAACCTCTTCAAGATCTCATTTGTGTGCATAATAATATTAAGTGAATTATTTGAGTTTTTTTTCTTTAGTTTGGAACATATTAAAAACTATATGAGGTTAGCTAGATTTAGGCGTTTTTTTCCGGAGCCTATTTTTGCAACTTTTTTGTTATGCACTCTATCGAGGTAAGAGGATTGTTTGTCTTGTATATTAAATGTTTTAAATTTGTAAAAAGAAAAACTGACTATTTTGTTTATTGCTTAGGTGCACCTGCATCTAGCGAAAATCTACGCTTCGTCACACAAACCCAATCAGGCGCGAGAAGCCTTCGAAGTTTTGCTTAAGAAATTTAAGCCATATAAAGAGGTAAGGATAAAGCAAGTTTAACTAGAAAGTTGCAGGATTTAAAGGGATTGCAATTATGCTAGAATGTAGAACAAAATTATGATCTGCTTTTTTTTTGGAACTATGGTTTCCATTGCTAAAATGGCTGAACACGCAAACCTCGTCGAAGTTTGTCGCATAAGCTTGAAGCCACTTGTCTTTGCTCCCAAGAAATTCAAATGAAAAACCTTTTGTACCATATTTAACAAAAATGCAACTAATATGCGTATTTATCATATGTTACATTAATAGACATAAAAAGTACAGCGGTTCACCAAATAATCGGATTTAAATAAAATAAATTTTGTATCATTCTTCCTCACTGGTGGTTACTAAACAGTGTTCTTTACTCACACAAAATTATAGTCATTAATATTTATTTCTCTATCTCTGTGAGCAAGAACAACTGATTATTTTTTAACTCTTTAATTGCTATTTTTTTAACAGTTTTTTATCTTTTTTTTTTGGTTTAATTTCTATTATACAAAATACTGTCATTGTTTTATCTCAAAATAAAGATATTTTCTGTGAACGATTATTTTATGTTTATGGAATAATAAAAGTGAATGTATGGATTAACATAAGAATATATCTGGATACGCACGACAAAGAGTTCATTGTTTTAAGTAAGTTACAGAAAATGCAAGGCTATTTTGGATTACAGGGAGTTGTTTTCCTTTTTTGAACAGTCGTCAAGATTTCACCTGCCGAGAATATTTTTAGAATAATAGTTTTGCTGACTTACTACATGATGCAGGTTGAAAGCATAAATGTACTTTGTCAATTTAACAACCTTATTGAAAAATAGAAATTTAATGTTAATTGCATCAGTAAGATAGCAATACCTTGAACTTTCCTTGTGAGGAAGTTTACAAAACCGTTACCTTTTCAGGTATGGATTGAGTTTGGGATGTGGTTATTTGAAACTGGACAGCTACAGGAAGCGCGCCAATTGCTCAAGAAGAGCTTCTCTTCATTATCTGATAAAGAACGTAAGTTATATTTAGAATCGTGCTTGAAATATGAAGTTTTGATATGATAAAACACTACATGCCACTCGATCTATGATCAAATACATGGTTGTAAAGGGCAATTAATTAACAGTACATCTATAGAAGGTAAGTAATTATTAAAGTTATCTGGAGTAAGTATTTAGGAATTTTTAAAGCCCACGCAAACATGTCCAATATCTGATTCATCTATTGGATTGGAAAGAAAGTTCCTGCGCGTTGCTTTATAAACCTCTTTTCTCACTTTCCCTTATTTGAAGTTTCCTTATAATATTCCGCTCGAAAGGGCTCTTCCTGCCCGATCAGCACTGTGAGAATATTGTGTTGTGAGTGCAAATTTAGCTCGAAACAATTCTTTAAGGATAGACATTACAGGTGGGAAAAAGTGCACTTTCGACAACTTCTGTACTACGTATAAAAACCAAAACACTACCAAAACTCCTTGGGACACTTGCTTAATGTACGGTAATCATCGCAAAAAAAGACTGTTCACAGGTGGTTTGCCAAATTTGAAAACGGCGTCAGGAATTTAGAGGATGCCCCTTGCTCCAGCCGACTTTCTGGGTTTGATAATGACTTTCCGAAAGGACACAACAGTTCGGAAAAAACGAACTACACGATTGTCGTTAATTACGTCAAGTCTCTTGATTTGATATAGAAACTTGGAGCGTGAGTACCTCAAAAACTTTCTGACCTCAACAAGTTATTACGGCTCCACACTGCATCTCACGATTCTCCGTGGTATCAAGCATCACAATAAGGATTTTTGCGCCGAACCGTCATTAGTGACGCGCAATATTGTCTGTACGTTAACATTAACCATAAATCGGAGTGGGTGGTACCATAAGAAAAGCTAAGGCCCAGGACATAACTAGATTTTTATCCTAAGAAAAGTCATGCTTTGCGTTCGGTGGGACTGCGAGAGTCATATTCACTGGGAATTATATTCTACGAAACGGACAGTTGATTGGCACCTTTATTCGGTCTAATTGTACCGAGTTAACCAGGATATTCCAGAGAAAAGACCTAACGTTCGAGGTCGAGTCTCAATTTTTTCTGGTCTTTGCGCTGCCGTATTATCGCTATTGCCATTCACTGGGCAATTACCTCCGTGGCCTTACTTTCAGCACGGCTTCAAAATGTAACTGGAAAACATCTTCCAAATCAAAATGCATTACCTTCTGGCGAGACCGTATGCATGATTTATGGGAAAATGCGACTAAGTCACAAGCAAAAGTAGGGAATACAGAACATGATAACTTGTCATCACAAAAATAAAAAAAAAATTAGTAAAAAAAAAATAGTAACCAAGCGTGGGGACTTCCTTTCCAACCTCGTATTTCAAAAGCTTTCGATCTGACGATTCGAGTTATCACGCAATCAACTGGAACCTCGATGTGTTGCTAATTTTAGGAAAAAATCAGCAGCTACTTGAATGCGGTAGAATAAAATACACAATGCTAAAAACCAAATATTTTTAGTTTGTAAGGCCACTCACGTTTAAGGGAGCGGTGAGGCCTATTATTACAGTGCCGTTTCGTAGGTCTACTGAAGAAACCCAAGATACAGAGACCCACTTCATTTTAGCACTATACTGAATAGGTAATTCCTAGAATTTGTTCTCACAGTAGAAATAATCGAAAACGTCGAGAAGATAGAATATTAGAGATTTAAAATAGTCGTCAGAATGTCTCCGTTTTTTTACAAAACGTTTCATGAACTATCAAAGCAATGAAATAGACATTTCATTGCATATGATTACCAGGACGTTGTAGCGCAATCTTCACTTAACTAGAGGTGAGCTTTGCCAGCTTATTTGCCGATTACGTCTTTATAAACAGTCGATGACAGCATAATTCTATTCACTTATTCATCAAAATAATATCATTTCCAAACGCGGTACAAACCTAAGCTTTGTTCACCTATTGATAAACAAGATGAACATGAAGGTTGTACATTATTTGCTGGAAGTAGAATCAGCATAGATCTCTACTCAAAGAGCCTATTTCGTAGCTTGGAGCTCATAAGGAACCGTTCTTCGGTTCCAAGTGTATATTTTAGTTTTTTGATACACCTCTGGCATGCAGGATATAGACGCAATTAGGAACCACTTTATGAGCTTTAATGCATACGTTCCAAAACAAACTAAATTCTAGCGAACGGTGACGTTTTTAGAGAGATACGCAGACGATCTTTGCACCCTCCCAAACATACGATATTAAATAAACTGGCAAGTAATTTATACTAAGAACATGATAAATCGGAGTATTCAGATTGGTGCCTTTCAGATTTGTCGCACACGCCTGATCCAAGAATAGGTGAAAATTTGTCTCACTAACGAATCAGAGCCCTTGTTACTTACGAGAAAAATTGCTATTTACTTATTTGTAGATGCGATTTGAGCGACAGGGTAAGGTTGGCGTTGTGAAATTTCTATATCTTAAAACTCTAATAAATAATGGCTTCATAATAACTCTCTAAAATAATGGCCTAGGGTATGTAAAATCGGTTCAGAATTGCTTCGAGGACCTATTAGGTAATGTATTGTCGGGCTCGCTTGAGTTTCTCCCACTAGTTCATGTCGTGAGATACACAAGGTCATTTGAATAAATACAAACATCATGCAACAAATGATTCAACAATAATAACAGCGTTTGTATTTGTGTTCGGTGCCGCCTTAGAGATCGACGTGATTAGACGTTTTGCATCAATGGAATTCTCACACGGTGAACATGAAGTGGGCAAGAGTCTGATGGATAATCTACTATTGTCCTATCCGAAACGAATTGACTTGTGGAACGTCTACATAGATCAACTTGTTAAATTGCAGGACTTCGACTCCGTCAGGTAACTTTACTTCTTCTTAAAGCATTTCTCCTAGCGTATTGCTGTTTTGTAAGGATTTACTTACAACGTAGCTAATATTTTTGTAAATTACTAGAAATATATATATAGCCCTTTGTCCAAAAATTAGTAAGTCGTTTGTTCAAAACTGGGAAATATTCATCTACTCGTTTTAACTTAAGTTGTGCCCTTTGAAGTGATCTCCGTTGGATGCAACACACAGTTCGGCCGGCTACCTCTCTACTGTTGATTTTATCGAATCGAAACGTTTTCCCTTCAGATCTTTGTTCGGCTTCGAAAGTAGAAAGAGTCGCAGAAGCTTGAGTTTGTTTAGTAAGAACTGCTGTACGAATAGTGGAATGTGGGCCAAATGACGGAACCAAAAATAATACACACTCGCGAAATCTACTTGAAGATATTTGATAATACTCTTTGTTATCGGTGCAGCTGGCCTTTCGGGATAAGGATCGTCTTCGATGGGCTCCTATGCGCCTTCGAAACACCATAGTGGCTCGAAAATTTAGACTATATTTTAAAAAAGATAGTATAACGGAAATGTTCCTTCAAGCAAATAGGAAAAAAAAACAACTAGTTTGAACCTATGTAAGTACAGGAGTTTTCTGAGAACCAGTGTAGAACTATAGGAAACTAAACGAATATTTCTTAGTTTGTAGTGACAAATATATTTTAGATACACAAAACTTTTCAAACACCGTCCAAGTCTATTCTTAACTGTGTTGAGAGCTGGTTTAAAGATGGCTAAGTTTTGATCTCTAAGACTGCCTCAAGCAACACTGCGGATAGTTCAGTTTTAATTGTTTGAGTTTCTCGAAGAATAGTATCAAACAATTCGTAGACTAAGAGTAGGTAACATGTAGCCAACACATCTAAAGTCGCGCTGCATTAGCGGTTCAGTATGATTCAACAGTGTATGTGTTGTATCTCTTTAGGTCTGAGAGTGAGAGCCAAGTATAACGTCGACCATGATTAGAGGCAGACCTATTTAAAAACGTTTTTATTTACTTATAGAATGCCTAACACAACTTGTTGTCATGTCAATGAAAACGAAAGATGTTATCGTAGAATTTCGCATTTAGCCGATGACTAGGGATAGATCGTCATCCTGTCCTAAATTACCCAATTAAAGGTTTTTTATGTCATTCAATCAGCAATGAAATATTCTGCCAACTTAATTACGTTCTTGTCTAGCGAGGCTAAATGCGACAAAATTATGTAAATACCGCGGGTAGTAATTTTCAATATAAATTCTCACGTGCAACATACTTCAGAAGCAAAGTTTGTACTAGAGGTAGAAAAGGGCCTAATTGATAAGAAGATTCATACCTGTAGCCAAGTTGTTTTTGTCAGTCCTTTCCGCGCTGTTGCATTAAGAAATAATAGGGTTACGGTCATATCGATAAATGAAGCATATTTACCTTATGAGCATATTTTGTTTATAACAACATTTTATTTCATTGAAAAGTAGACTTATAAATCTGTGAGCGAATGTCGTTAATACCGAAACCACTTTGGCCTATAGGGCGGAGAACCTGCTTCTCACTTATAGGTTCATAACAGCTGAAACGTTGCCTCACTGCACGGATACATGAAGGATCTAGCTTTTGGGTTTTCCAGTTCGATTGACATCGCCTTTGTGATATATAGTTTGCCTACTAAACTTAAAGACACGGAAAATGGTTAATATTTAAGACCAAACGCTAATCTCACTTCATTTCACACCTAGAGTTAACCGTCTGAGCAATGCCCGGTGTCACGAGTGCCAATCGATGGAAGAAGCATTTGCCCTGCAGCGCCGAGTATGTGCGCCGTTTACCAAATCAGACATGCCAGCATCGCGATCGTCATATATGGGGCTAGAGTGTCACCTATGATGGTATTCCAAACCAATGTGTTATGCATTTGTGACAGGGTATGAGAGTCATGCTGCAAGGTCAACGCCCATCGTTTCCTCCTCTCGTCGTTTCCAAACCTCGGTGGTTCCCGTACGCAGTGGATTTAGGGCGATCTGAAAACTCTGACAAAGGTGTCGTTGATCTGAGAATGCCAACGACATCTACGCATGCTGTTGGCGCAGAACGGCTAATGTAATAACATTCATTAAATTTCTCGCCATACTGACAAATGTGATGTGAGAAATATAGTACCAAAAAAAGTAACAGTATTGTTGTGTGTTAGAGATCTTTTTTTATTAATTGAAGAACTATTATTGAAGAAGATTTACTCCCTTACTTACAAGATAACTAAGATAACTAATTACACTTCTAGCTGTGGAGCTGGGGACAGCGGCTAACTGTTGACGAACTTTGATTCCATAAGTTGGGCCAAAAAAACCTATATCCACATTTTAGTACGCGCATAACCTGGGATCTAAAAGAAGCCCTTCGTAACAGAAATTCAAACTACCATGGCACTAAATTATGCGTACTTTTGAGAACTGACGAGAGTAAAGCTGGTATTTGGTAAAATCAACAAAAAGATTTCCCTTGTTCGGTTACGCATCGCAACAAGGGAAACTGGATTCTCAACCAGGAACACCCATTTACCATTTACGAGTCTGTGTGCCGCGTCTTAATCCCCGCGAACACATGCCATTTCTGACTCCCCAAAGACCGCATCGTCGCATACACTGGAAAGATGTTCCTTGCCAGCAGCGTACGAAATTTTTCCGTCGGACATTAACAAACAAACATCACAAAATGTTTTCAAAATTGCATCAGATATTTTCATTAAGGAAAGAACGACTGATTGAACACTAAGTGGAAATAACAGCTTTAATTCATAAAAATTAACTCTTAAATGCCTTCGTCGGCGTCCAGGTTAGCTCGATATAAAATAAATTGTATTCTATCATTGTCTGTTCTAGGCACAAATTCAATAAGCTTCTCACTGTTAAACTTCCGGTTCGTAAGATGAAATCCGTTTTTAAAAAATGGCTGGACTTCGAGCAAAAGCAGGGAACACCTATGGAGGTCGAAAACGTCAAAAGAAAGATCGTCGATTATATTGATTTGGACGATAGCCATATAAGATCATAAGCTGAAAAGTGGTCAAAAGAGGTCTTCACTCGAACCAACCCTACTGTAAACGCGTGCGCGCGTCTGTTCAAATACCCATACAGATCTTGGCGGCGACAACACTACCATTATGGAATTGTCTAATGCAAGCGTTAACCAACTAGCGTAATAAACCAGCAAGATATAAAAATATATTTAGCTGACGCTGTATTAAAAGAAGCATATGCATACTTTAAATAAATATGTATTTAAGTGAAACAGTTGATTCATAGCAAATATAAATACAATAAACTAGTTAGCCTTATTTTTTATTTGCACTTTTTTTTATATATAACACCAATAAACCTAATCCACATACGTAAAAGGCTGTTTCGAACAGTCTGTGTCTTACATACTTTAAACCGCACAGTTTTCACACTATAGATACTATAGATACATTACGTTTGCACATCTGATTACTCCATAACAAACATAATGTTCGATCGTTTACATTCTCTAACCATTCCAGGTCGTTAAAGAAGCTTTTGAGATGTATTATAAGGATATTAGAGATTCTGACACAAAATCTTAACCACATAAATTGTCTCTGCGCCAAATACATTCCTCTATAGTATCCTTTCATTTATTACAGTTCCTTATTTATCACATGCGTAGTTTGAAGGCGGGGCGCTGTTTCTGGCATCATCTTACTTCCTATTATTATTATAGTTATCTAAAAGCCTTTTCTAAGGATTTTCTATATAGACGTAGGCAGCGTATTTGTTATTTAGCCCATTTGACACCTGACAAGTTTATCAAATCCTTTGGGAAATATTAAGGTGTCCACCGTTTGATGCGTATAGGGCATTTTTTTTTTCTCAAGAATACAAATAAACATCCTGCATCGTTATTTAATAGAGTTTATCCGTTCACCCACAAAGGGTATATAAGGATCACATGTGTACTAGTACACTAGACGTGAGGTCGGCCTAATTTGCTACGTATGCTTATAGGGCTGAATTAAGAGTTTTCCTAAACAGTTGTCAATGTATTGGGTGTTGCACCATTCTTCCGATTTCCCAGCTGTTTATCTTCGTTTTCATTGACGTTCACCCATCTCGGCTATGACGTTAATCCACACCTACCGTTCCTGGTCGCAATGATGACTCTCTCATTGACGTCACGCGTGCGCCATCACCCGTATCCAAGTTTCCGTCCCCTTTCCCTCGCTCGAAACGACAAGACGAACTATGATGAAGAGACCCTTCCTAAAGCTAAGGTGACCTGTTACAGTCCCATATCATAAGGGTGGCAATACTCCGTTTTTTTCTGCTCCATCCTCAACTTAATCAATTTTTGTGTTCCTCTAGGGAGTACCTTTTTGGTCGCTCGCGACTGTTCCGATGGAGCCGAGGAAGAACGAAAAGTATGTGTCTGCTACATAGAATAGAGACACATACCATGGGGGGAGGGAAATCGGAGAGAGGCATGCGAGAAAGAATGAAACACAACCATACAGCTTGACAATATGAGAAGACTGCGGAGGGAGGATCTAGCGGCAAGACGAAAAACCGCCCAAGGCAATAGCCATCTACTGCTTCCAATAGTCTTCAGTTTAGACTGGGCGAGTCATCATTCGTGAAGTGGGCTTTTACCTATATTTTGTATATTCCTCGGCCCCAACGAGCCAAACACACGCACCTCAACTTTCGTAGTAGTGACGCGTTTCGATTAATAAAAAGTCGATAGGAACAAGAATTCTTTGTATTAGTGCAAATTTTATTTACATTTACGGGCACCCGGTTTCATATCTAAGTATTTGCCACGCTGGTGTGAAATACGCCAGCGTTCACTAACTGCCGTAGCCATTGAATTCACGCTTTCTTCTTGTATAGTTTTCATGGAGTTTAGGGACAAACCGATCTTTTTTACCAAATTTTGTTATTTAAATATAGGTTTACTCAAATTTTGTTATTAAGCTTAGAACTTGCAGCAGAATACGTTCGAATCTAAAGGCTGTATAGCAAGCATTTGGGAAGAAGAGACGGATAGAGTCTCAGATTTCATGAAACTTTGCTTATCAAGTAGAATTTTTGACACTATCGATTAAACGAAGGTTCAGCGCAACATTAGTATTGGAAACTAATATATTAAGTTTTGTTTCTTTAAAGATATTATGTAGCTTATATTCCATATTCCCCAGCAATACATCTGAGTTCGGCTTTAGTATAAACCACGATTGATTTTTGGGTATACTAGAAGCATCACTTAGTCTTCACAATATCAATATTCGATTGAGCCGTACATTCTTTTAAATGCAATAATTTAAGGATCAGTTCTTTTTTTCAATAAAACGGAGTTTTATGAGTAGGTATTTTCCTATAATTCTTCGTCATGTTTTAAACAAGAAGCGTTGAATGATGACGCGACTACGTGGTTCTATCTTTTGAAAGCCTTAGGGGCTTCGCGCTCCATAACATAGGGCCGCAACGGAGAGGAGAGTTTGCGGCGAGCACAGCAGCCATCTGGTAGCATCTGGAATGGCCATAGGTTGTGTGTAGTAACGAGCGTGTATTCGCCTTAGTACGACGCTGTCTATCTCCGTTCTTGACCAACCGGTCAGCCACAGGTTCAACCCAGGACAAAGTGGCAGAACGGTACTCTAGCTCCGAGACAACCCAGACGTGGTGCGGCCAGTTGCCAGCCATCAATAAGATTAAAATCAGTGTGCCTAACGGCTAGCACCATTGACAGTGTAAATTAGTAATTCTCATATTCATTCAGTGCGTTAGTAGACCATTCGAACTCGCAGCATCAGCAAGCGGACGTCTTTTGTTACCATTACAGAAGGATTAATCAAAGCATTACATGTAAAAGCAGCGGTCGTCTCTGCGTGCGACTTCTCCCACCTGTAGGCAGCCTCAGGCAGTGAGCAACGGTGCGTTGATCAATGACGGATTTCTTCCCATAACTCAAAGTGTATCTACTTGTGACTTATCCAGTGAACGTAGCTGCAAGTCACGAGAGACGTAATCCCGATCTTTGAAAGGAGGTTGAAGTTACGACAGCCGGAATACCAATAGAAATATCAATTTGCGAGGTAACTGGCAGTGCTTCGGCGACCGATATGTTATTCCATTTGCCAAACGTAGTGTAGAGAAGAAATCTGGTCTACTCGTAGGTACCAAAAAAGAGAAGGACAGTCCTCGCCAAAGCTAACGAAGCAACGTATAAACAACAAGTCTACGTGGAAAGATTGCCAACTGATTCGAATTCTATATTGCCAAGATGGGTCAGTCGCCGGTTAGTTCTTATCTGACAGTTGTGGCGTTTGCTCTGGCAGTATTCGGAAACTTTTGGAACTTGTCCTTGGGAAACCAAACCATAAAATATTTGCAGATGCCCGGAGTGGCTCCCGAACAGGTAAGATTAACCCACCGCTATTCGCTCGTAAAACAATAAGTTGATTTTCAGTGACCCACGGCTGATACTGGCGTTGTTATGTATTGTCGCAATACTCTACGTAGATGGTAATTTTTAACATCGGGTAGTCGAAACAATATCTGTATTTCGAGCCTTTATTAAGTAATCGATTTTGGTTTAAAATAATAATAATGAGACAGAAAAGTGTTCAGAGGTGGATTCAATATTTATTGATCATTGGTGCCCATATTACCACTTTGCCAGATATAGAATTGATCTTTTCAAATTATGTTTTCCCTGCTACCCTGCAACGATGTCCAATGAAATAGACTTCGACACGGCAGTGTCTGCCGGCACGCTTTGGGATTGCCTTGCGATGCCAAATGTTAGAATTTGGGCTCGATTATGTTATTTAAATTAGGCATTGCTTCGAACTGGCCCGTTTTCCGTGATGTCGTATATACTCCTAAACAATAAAACGTAAAGAGCTTTCCGGCAAATTAAATGTAGGTCTCAGTAAAAATGATGGAGGGTTTAATGCACTTTGAATTTACAAGACCTGTTTTACTGGGCTATCTTTCACCAATGCATGTTCAGCAAGTTATAAAAATCTTTTCAGAACTAGTAATTACGGGGTTTATTTAATACAAGTGCTGTGTCTGTATACCAGAGCGCAAACATTGATTGCTCCAAATTTATTACCCAAATGTTTATAAAACGATCTTAATATTTTTTAAACTCAACGAATTTTTGATTCGGTTGAAAATGTTTTCTGAGTTGTATGCCCAAATGATGCGTTCAGGTTTCCAAAAGCGTTGTATCCCACCTGGCTAGAAGGTAATGAAAAAAAACATAGGCCACCTGATGACAGGTCATTCTTTCACGAGGAAATCTAACTTTTGGTAAAAACGCGAAGAAAGCACGTCAAACACATACACACAATACACAAGAGCATTTCGTTGAATAGTGTAAGATTTTGCTTGTAGAATGATTGTTGAAACAATAAATGCATAAAACATGCTGATATTACCTATTCAACAGATAACTGTTATTAAATATAATAATTGTTACTTTTGGATTTACAATTTTATTAATATTGTATATAATATAATATTGACTTATTTGCGCTATTCTTATGTTGCCGATTTAATTTAGGCTTGAAAAGGTTGTAGATTTATTACCTGAATTAGCATTTTATTCATTGGGCTATACTTGATTTCCGCATTTTTGTTCGATCAGCCCGCCAAAACAACACGCTATTCTGCACTTGTGTTACACTGTTCCAGGCTACGTATTCTATAAGAAAGACAGTGTGCGTTACAGAATATTTGCTTTAATTTATAGGATAAGCTAATCTGTTTTCAGGTAATAGTTGCGTGGCTATAATGTTCTTATTTGTAAATTCTCATGCATTTCCAGTAGAACTATGTAAATAAAGATGATACGGTACGGCTAAATATTGCCACTGCTGACGAGAACATGACCAGTTACTTGTTGCCTTCGGTTGATACAGGCAAATGGTGTGCGTACCATCACGATTTGTTATTTAACTGAAAAACACGTTTTAGCTAGTATGATCTAGTAAATGTCATGTTCGAGACAACTGTAGTAAAGGAAAGATGCTCCAAATTGAGCTCGATCACCAACTTAGATTAAATGTCTAAGCAGATGCGCTTATACCAATCCACTATGTAACTATGATAGGGCTCGCTTGATTTTTCCGTCCTTTATAAGCCGTTTATAATCTACCTATTGTTACGAAAAAACTTTGCCGTTTAGGGCGGAACATGAACTATCTTTGCTGATTTTTTTTTTGCAAATATTTATTGTGCTTTGTTATGTATCAGCCACAGAAGAAGTCACGCAACACGTACATGTTAGGCTGCTTGGTAATTGGTTCAGTAGTGCCGCTATTATAGATCTCATAAACGATGTTGACAAGCAAAAAACACCACATACGCACTGTTATCGATACGTAGCAAGGAGCTACTCCCACAAATAGTCAAGTATAATGAATAAACGATGATAAGTAAAGACACACATAGGATATATATATATATATATATATAATAGAGAGTTACACTGGATGACATGTTTCAAAACTTGAAGAACGATTTAATTAAATAAAATAGCCGAATATTTCGCAAAATGAACTTGCTAATTAATTTTCGCATTTTCAGTACACGATTTATAGTTCCGACTGTAGAAATCTCAGACTTATGTGAAGACTTATTATCAATTACAGAAGGATACATACCTCTGTGTCGGGTTTAAGATGCCTGATGAGACAAAATATGTCGGTAAGTTTGCATTGCTTTTTGCTCCCTAGTTTTGTTCACCTAGAAGATCGTAACGGTGCTTTCCAGTATAACGAACCATATAGGTATTCTGGTCATCGAACATCTTTATATTTGCGCGTTGCTTGTTCATATTCTATGCGAAAAATATTTGTTGACATAACGATCATATATTTATAGGAAGGTAAATTCAATTTTTAAATGCTATTTATCTAATGGGATGTCTACCAGGTTGGTAATATTATGTTTACAAAAAGTGATCGTCGACATTGACTCTTTGCTATTGAATTTTTCGTTCGTACTCTGCTCTACATTTAGTACCTGAGGGCTACGAAATATTCAAACATGAATCTAAGCATGCCAACCCTGATCTACGCATTACTATGATGGCAAAATTGTTCTCGTAAAAACTGAATTGTGCCATTTTAGCGCTTAGGTTGTTTTTGCAAAAAATGTGAAAAAGCCATTTGTTCGTTCTCTGTAAACGGCCATCAGTATTTCATATTCAAAAAATAACCACACAAAATAATACGAAGAAAGTAGGAGTTGTCTCATGGCGTTTCAGTGCTCGTATAGTTTCACATTTCGATGGCATCTGAGATCATTTGATGTTAAGCGCGTTCGTTTCTAGTGCCGTCTGTGAACATGTTCCTGAAAGGAGGGACATAAAGCACGAAGACAATTATGACGATGAATCATTTCAGCTTTTCTCAATATCGTGCTTATTGAATAGTGACCTTATTATTTTTATGCTGAATGAGTAAAAGGAATACAAAAAAATTGTGACGTTTTCATGAATATATTTGAATATTTTTATAGTAGGATAGGAATATTTCGAGCAAATTGCCTTTATGAAGCAACGGTGGGGAAGTTTGACTCGATCTCTATCTGTCAATGGTTTCCTGGACAGTCTTTTTTGCTGTAGACAGTGGATAAAGCCAATTTGGATGAAACTTAAAAGCTAAGCATTTGCAATACTGTCATGATACTATTAAAGACGTGGGCTAGATAAAAGAAAATATGAATTTTAGTTTGTCTATTCGACAAGCTGTAAAACCCTGCATTATATGTTCCAAAAAACTATTAGTTTTGTTATGTTATTATGATTTTACTAGAGATCGCGAGTGCAACAGGGTAAGCTGGCGTTTTCGAAGTGATATATTTTTCTTATTTAATTTTTTCAGTCGGATTTTTACCAAACGCGACCGCGCATACTGCTCATCACATCCTCGTCTATGGCTGCTCAATACCCGGCTATCATCAAAGAGACACTCCGCGTGCCATTTGGGATTGCGGAGAAATGACAGGCATGACACAATTGTCGCGACTTATTTTATTTCTATCTAGTGTAACAGCTAACTATTATTTTATTATAGTTATTAATAATAAAAGTATTTTATCTTTAATATTCTAGCTTATATAGAAAATCATATTATTCTTATGTTGAACAGCGGAAACTGTAATGACTTAGTAAAAAGTAGATAGACAAATAGAATGAAATTTATTGTAGTATTCGCCATTATTGCGCTGTGAAACACAGGCGGTCAAAGTAAATATCGTCGAGCTCCCGTTTGTGCAGATGGCAGCCAAATTCTTTACGCTTGGGCGCTGGATGCTCCTCCGCTTAAGTTACCAAAAGGCGTCGGATTTAAAGTTGGCGGGAACTCCGGAGTTAATTTTCTTATTTTACAAGTGGGTATTATATAGCTCTCATTACAATATGCGATATGCGGAATATTAGCAAAATTTTCTGTGTAACAAGTTTAACTTATTAACTGAATATCCTCTAAGCAATACGTTTTTATTTATGCATTATATTTTCTCACCCTTAATAACTACCAAGTGATAATTCGCTCTCACAAAAAATAAGTTACTGACACAATTATCAGGCAGTTCCCTTGTGAAGGGACACACAGCTGGTCAAAGCAAATTCATTGTTAAAAACATTCGTCTATAGCAATTGTCCATAGGTAGTTAACATCACTCTATGCGGCAAATTTCAATTATTTGCAGTACTTTTTTTCGGTTAGTGCATCTAAATGTGCCCAAATTGAACTGTATATCGTTGTGTTGCTTTATCGAAAAGTATGAGTATTTACTCTACGTATATGGGAAATTTCCTGCAGGTCCATTATGCGGATGTATCTTCCTTTGTGAATGGTAATAGAGATCACTCAGGAATTTCGTTAGAAATGGTCGACGGGTCATCTGGAGTTGTTAAACGACGTGCGGGTATTTATCTTTTAGGCACAGGAGGAATGCTTCCGGCTAAAAGAGAGAGTAAGTACTTCAAACCTGGACGTAAAACACGTTTGTTGTCTAGAAAAAATCATCAGAGTTGTTTCTATTCCTAATAACTAAAGCAGGCGCTCAAGCGGAATAATAATTTTTTAGTTCCAAGGGAATCGCTGGACAATCCCCTTAAAGCCAATACAGCGCTCGTGGAACATAAAGAACTTGATCGGCCACTAGTATTGTCAAACTAATTCTGGTAAGGCCCATTTGGCCAAAGTCATGTTTCACACGTAAACTAGAAGGACTGCACGTAAAAGAACAATTTAACTAAGTCCATTCTCCTGACTGATCGTATTTTATGTAACGAAATACATTCAATATAAAAAAATTTGCACCACTTAGTCATTTCAAAAACCGAATAATCTGTATTGCAACACCACAATTGTAAAATACTCAGATATTTTACTAATATAACATGAACAATCCTTTTTTAAGCACCTCTTGTGTCTCAGAAATTACCAACCTACTTATACTTATTTCTGCTTCCGTTCTGAGCCTATATTTCCAAAATCGTAAGCTAGTTTTATCTACCTTCACCTTCACAGTTGGTTTATCATTCAGAGAACTATAATCCACACCTGCCATACAGAATATGCGGACTCAATATTTGCAGACTCTTTCTGTAAGACATTATCATAGTAATTGATGGCTTCCTTGATTGGCTTCAAAACTAGCCATTTTATCATGTAGAGCTACCTGTAACTGTATTACATTGTCCTTAGCCCATCTGGAGACGGCCTGTAAGATTGACGAGGACGTCACCATGTTCCCGTTTGCCTTCCGCACACATACTCATAAATTAGGCCTTGCGGTCTCTGGGTGGAAGGTGAGTTCGTCAACTTGTCAGTCGCTAAACATGTACGGATAGCCCTAAAGGACAAAAGCGATAAAAAAACGTATTCCGCGTTTTACACAGAACGATTAGCTACTTACCCGTTGCATTAGCTTTCATTAGCTGATGAAGAGTGAAGTTAGACTGCAGAACGCAAGATGCACTTATGGATCTTATTAGGTCGTTACGCGACAATAGTAAAATGTACTTTTCTAACGAATACACACAGAAGGGGGCATTTAAACTCAACGTTTTTATAAGCTTGTTTAGAGACTGTCTGTAAACAAAGACAGATACTTCAGCCATCTTTTTTGGATGTGCTAAATTAATAATTTTTAATGGTCATGTGCTTTCGTCTCAGCCACGTCTTTAATTCAGGACCTAAACAACCCTCTGGTCATTTTCAAAATATTTTTCCTTTAGTCCGCAAATGACTCTTTTAAGGTGACCGTGGGTCAAACGGTACTGGTAAGTGAAACTTCAATAATAAAGTACGGTTCGAGTACGCTATGCACAAGAATTCTAGCGGAAATAAAATTTATGTTAACAGCAGGCCATAACTCATAGAAATACAACAGCTTAAGACGGCCAACAAGCACAGAAGGAAAAAAACTGGCTTAGAAAATCTGAAAAGGAGCAACTGTTGGAGTTCATCTGAACGACATATTGATAATTTGGTCCTCGAAACAACTTTTAAATTTATATAAGAAATTTAAATGTATCAAACATGTTTTTGACCAATTGTTTTTGTGAATATTTGAACTTTTTAAATATAAGCCCTATTGAGAACCTTTCGGTTTGCTTACTAGAGAATTTCTTCGGATTTTTTTGAAGCTGTATGAAGCATGCGAAAAGAAAATCTATGATCTTGGTGAGGGTTTGTCCTGCGGACACGCATTGGATAATAATAGTCTTTGCGTAAATTCCAAAAATGACGCACTATTTTTCGCCATGATTAATTCACTGTTTTATTCTAGAGAGGACTGGCCCTTTCCTGGTATTAAGAATAGCAAACGAACGAATGCGTGCTATCGCAAACAAACCGGCGCAGTTTCTAAACTCAATGCCCAACCTTTTATTTTGGAAGTGAGTCTTACGAGTAATAAATATAAATGATATTTCTCATCTATGTTAGAGTCTCGGTTACATAAATCGGTGCTAGCGTAGCGACAAATATCTCATCTCTATTAGTAATATGTGTAATTTCTGTCAGACCCTTAGTACCCGCGGCTATAATAAAGCTGGTTGAGAGAAATTTGTTCAACCTTGTCGAGTTTCAAAAAGCATTTTTAGAAGGTTATCTCTATAAACAAGAAGTCTATCGAGGAAGAAGCTTTGGGATTTTTTATACTAAGAGACAAATTTTATGCAAGGGAAATTTCTGTAGAGAGAAATAGAAAGGCTTGAATTACCTGTGTTAAATGATGAACTTAGACTTTTAGTTTGGCCACGGTTGTTTATACAAAAGTGTTTAAAGTTCCAAACCTAGGAGATCATGTATTAAAAATTACACAATATGTCTTTAATGTACACTTTTATTGTGAATATAATCATAATATAAGTTTTTATTGTAAGTCATCAAGTTTTATCGAAAAATTAGTTATAGGCTTCGTTCTAACTAGGGTGATGCTGTGTTTGATCAGGTGGCTCGTGATCCGTCATCAAAGAGGAATCAGTGGACGTTGATTGGAAAAAGAAATCCTCAGCTGCCACAAATGTTCTACCCTGTGCGTCCTATTTTTTAAGATGGCATATATATATATATATTCAAAGGGAATATGAGCAAAATTATAGTCAATAAGCAAAGTGTTATTTTATATTATATAAGTTCATATGAACTTTTCTACAATGTGAATTCTTTGGTAACTAGATCTATACATTAATACAATTTAAAACCTAAAGCTAAATAAGTGTTTTAGCGTTGATGTTTGGTACTGCTATTAAGCGTTCGGACTATAACCAAAGCTGTAGAATTAAATATCTCAATTGAATTGAATAGTAATCATGCTTCTGTGACATGTGATACTCAGAGCTTATCAGACATTAGTTTTGGGTGAGAACGGCACTCGGTGAGCGTATCTGTCATGTTTTATAACTGTTTTTTTCTTTCAACACGTTTTACATGTGTTAGCTGAACGAGCCGTTGAAAATTAAGAAGGGCGACGTGCTGGCAGCACGGTGTACGATGTTCAACTTCCGTGATCATACTACTTTCATCGGGATCACGAACAATGACGAGATGTGTAACTTCTATATCATGTACTATGTTGGTAAGTTCGCGGTAATGATTCCGCTTGCGGAAAAATCAAATTTGGTCAAAATCAAAAATCAGTTTTTATTTTTCGCAACCTAAATTAGCTTTTAAATTATTTGGATTGCTTTTTACTGAATCCAAGGGACTCTTAGGTCCAACTGGTTTAAAATTCATAGCTTTTTTTTTAACACTCACACAAGGCTTGAGAAAACGGTTTGTGGAATTTGATAATTCAGAAAAAATAAAGCTAGGTGACATCTAACACCTTTAATCTAGAGCGGTGTAACACGAAAATGAGGAGCACTAATCACCACACATTTTCTATTAGATTATTTATAGATGTTTTAATTTCTAATTTATTTACTAATTCATTTAACGGTCCTTAATTTAAATAGAATTAGATTTATTGTCGGTTTTTACAGAAGTGTAAAATTTTTAATAGAAGCTTTTGTACTAGACACCTAGGAATCGATAATAGGTCACTTCAATACATACATTTTTCTAGGTACTTTCTAGTAATCTTTCGCATGATGCCTTTTATTAATCATGTGAGTTTCGAGTAAGATATATGTGAGTTCTAATAGTTTCAAAATGTATAAATATTCACCTAAACTAACAAGCCCGTGCGTCGAATAAAACAATACAGTTAGACGTTCCACGGCCCGCAATGACACGTAAAACATTCGTTTAAAGATCTGACGAAACGTTTAAACGTCACGTTTTTCAAACCTGAGCTGCTGCTGTTGTTGCTATATTCTGCAGATGGTGACCGCATTCTCGATGAGAAATATTGTTTCAGCGCGGGCTATCCTTCATATGACTGGGTGTCCGATCCTCGTATCATCACCGTTCCCAATTGGGTGGACAAAAGCGCAAGTAAACTTGACTGAGCTAAATGGCCACAAATGAATAGACGTTAGTTTCGATTTCTCTAAAAAAATCAGGCAGTTGGATTGAATTTGGATGAAAAGCTTTATTATACTTGCCAACGGCTTTCCGAATCGGACTATTTTATTTTTTTGTCGGCTATAGATAAAGACAGAACTACATACTGCAGATATAGATGTGTTAAAGGGCGCTTGTTTTTGTGTTGCGCCTATCATAGGTTTAAAGAAACTGATAGTTCTTACAGTTTTACATAACGCAAGTTTAAGCAAGTATAAATACAAATTTAAAAAAACGAATATAAAAAAAAAATATCTAGATTTTAGCCAAGAATTGAGCTTTTTTTCGCAGTGTAAAAAACCCTTAATTAGGCCATATCGATGCTTGGAACTAGTTACAGCGAAGACGAGTACACTGTCGGACAAGATCGAACCAATGGACCAGATGAAAATGAAACAGTCATCGATTATCGCTTAAGCGCAGGAGGTGCAACAACTTACTGTGATGTAGAAGAAATTTTGAGGACTGAATATGGAATACGGCAGGTTACACTGATCGAGTTTTGGACCGAAGTTCTCGTAACAAAGTGGCTTAGAGTATCCCCTTAAAGAATAACAAACTTATAGAAAATTTTTTGCTCGTCACATGTATCTTCAAGTGGGAAGCAGCGTTTGGCTAAGAAGTAATAATCCTACACAAATGGGTGTTAGGATCAAGCGATCAGAGTAATCGTGAATATTTAACGAAACGTGGTGGTTGTCAAAGCAAAAAAGCCCT